ACCAGCGTTAAGAAGGGGGCTGAGGTTATGATGCTCTCAGCTGAGCTAATGCGCGATCGGGTCGCCAGCCTTGAGAGGGCTAACAAGGCAGCAACAAAGCGTAGGCAGCGTAAGAAGAAGCGGATACAGAAGCAAGGAGTGCTAACAAAGGGAGCTGGAGAGGATCTACTCGCTCAGCGCGAGGCTGATCAGCAGATTGCTCATGAAGAGCGTCAAGGAGGAGAGCGATCAGGTGTCAGCCGCCAGGCTTTAGCGCGCTGCAGTAGGTGTAGGGAGACTGGCCATAACTCTCGTACGTGCAAGAAAGATACTCTAGGTACTGCTTAATCTATTATGTTAATATATAGTAAAACAAATATATTGTGGTGGAGCTACAGGCTTATAGAGGTGCGCAGGTTTGGTGGGGTGCGCGACTCGCTTGCCTGCGCGACTCGCTTATCCACTACGTTAGTCTTTGCATGGTTTTACTTATGTATGACCCGCTCCGTTTCATTTTCTCGTCTCTCGACCACGTTTTATTTCATTCGTTTCATAGAATTGATTGAATTGATTTGAGATTGAATTGCATTGAATTGAATTGAAATGAATTGATTCAAAGATTAACCATTTGATATCTCTCTCCCCGTTTCCCTTCCTTTCCCTTCCCTTCCCTTTCCTTTCCTTTCCTTTCCTTCATTCCCCTTCCTCTCTCTCCATCCCCTCACTACTTCCTCAGAACACAAACACAAACAAACTGCATGTGCATGTGTAGTATGTGTACTATGTCTCGACCCACATGCATACATACTTTTAATTTTGTGCAACACCCCCCGAAACACCCATGATTTCAGTCTTTTTTTTTCTTAGCTACTTTGAAATATCAATAACCCCATGACATGCTACCTACACCGGTTTTCCATTCCATTAAACGCCCTCGGCAAGAGAAACATGTTCTCTTGGAATCCGATTATAGTTGCCTATTCCTCTCTTCAAACTCTCACTTGCTTTTCGTACCTACTACTTCTTACCCAGTACACGCCACTAGTTCTCATTCTGAAGCGGCACCACTCTGCCCGAGTCGACGATAATCTGCTGATCGAGCCTCTTGTCAATGTCGCCGTACTCGAGCCGCTTCCACGTGACAATGCGCGCCTGGTTGGTGTCGATTTCGAACACGCGGAGACGGCGGTGATAATGGTTGTAACCACCGTAGCCGCCGAAGCCGCTGCCTCCAGCATAGCACATCCAGATTTCCGGCTCGCCTGTTTCAGGGGCCTTGGAGAGGGCGCAGTAGTCGTTGACATGGTCGTGGCCGCACGAGACGGATTTGATGTTGAACTCGACGAGGGCGTCCTTGAAATGCGTGTTGAAGGCGGGCGCTGTAATGGGCTCGGTCCAGTTGCCCACGCGGTCGTTGTCGCGGATGCCGTACTCGGGCAGCGGAATGTGGATAAAGGCCATGTCGAGGTGCTTGTGGGTGTAGTGGCGATGCGCATCCTTGAGGCTTTCGGCAGTGGCCTTGAACCACTCAATCTGGTTGGGCTTGATCCAGTCGTAGCCGCGGTAGTGCGTCTCGTCGGGCGAGTAGGAATGTGTGTCGAGAAACCAGAGCGTCAGGGCGGAATGCTTGCTGCTGTGGGCCTGGATCTCGACAAAGTAGTTGCCGACGCCGTCAATGGTGTTGGGACCGGCTTCGCTTAGAGAAAAAGGTAGTGAATCATAGAGATGCATTTGTGCCTGACGCGAGAGGGTGCCCTCGTCGTCATGGTTGCCAAAGATGGCAGCATAGGGTATCTTGCGCTCAGCGAGCGGATCGACAATCTTGAACATGGCCTGTAGCAGAGTCAGTGATGCACCTGGCAAGTATAGAGGTGCTGTCTTACGCTCTGAACATCCGGAGCCGTGTCGCCGTTGATCTGGTCGCCGGACAAGACAACCATGTCGGGCTTCTCGTCGTCGAGCACACGCTCAACAAACTCGATTGTTCTAGGATCGGCGTCACAGTGTCCGCCATTTGCGCCCTTGGGCTCTTCGTCCCTGCATTTGCCGAGACCGGTGCTGAGGTGCAAATCCGATATCTGCATAATCTTGAACTTGCCGTCTTTCCGGATCTTGGGCACTGGCTTCTGGAGCTTGACCGCCGAGCCTCTCCGTATCGTCAGGCGCGGGTCGGTACTGCCCTTGCTGGTGTCGAGGTTCAGAGCGCCGTTCTTGACCAATGCCCAGCCCGGGCGAGGCTCCACGGCATCGGCGCCGAACAAGATGTCGACGGCCGTCACGGCCTTGTTGGAGTCGCTCGCATGGCGCTTGAGCGACCGCTTGATCCACACGCCTGCCGGGCGCGACTCCCACTTTTCAGAAGCCTGGGCCTTTTCTCCAATCGACGGGTCGAGCTTGCCGGTGCGGACATCGACGACGACCTTGTCGTCGGTCTGGAGCTCCTCCTCGCGCTTGCGCTTGATGTGCACATAGGCCTTGTACAGCCAGCCCTTGGCCAGGTAGAGGTCCTTCTCGATGCGGTGCCATTTCTTCTGGTCGAGCATGCACTTGGACAACGGGTTGAGGGTCGAGCACGTCTGCACGGTGATGTCGGTGATGACGAGGCCGTCGTGGTGGAGCGGCAGGTGGCTGTGGACCGACTGGGGGAGGACGCGGTAGCGGTTGTCGAGGAAGAAGAGGGCGAGCGAGATGACGATGGTGATGGCGACGAGCTGGACGCCCGTCCGGACCTGTGCGTGGTTAGAGGGCGGGTGGCGGGGTCGCGGGCTGGCAGTGAACCTACTATGCGGCGCGTCATGGTAGAGGCCGTCCAAGGTGCAGGCGAAGGCGCATCAAGGCAGCGAGGGGTTTAGGACGTGGGGTTTTCGCAGCGGGCCGGGCCCCTCTCCATGGCCTGGTGCCTCTGGCGAAATCTGGCGAAACCTGGCGAAACCGGGCGAACTGTGGGCGGGCGGAACAAGGCGCGGGCCCATGTGAAGAGAGAGGGATGGATGAGCGAATGCCTGTCGTGGGCGGGAAGCTGTGTCTTGGCTCGCGGACCCTGCAAAGGCACCGCCGGCATCGCCAACGGCTCTGCAGGGGTTGGCGGGACTGGCGATGCCGCGACTTTGCAGGCCCTCGACTGGCGTGCTGGGCGCTGGGCTGGGTGGGAGCATACCAGGCATGCGGCTGGGCCAGTAGAGCATGCCGCAATGCTGAGCATCTGCATCCGCCGAGTGGCATCTGCTGGCCGCCCGCGTACGCACTTGTACTGACTTGGGCCGTGTGGTGGGCGCCCGCCTCGGCTCGCCTGGCCATGCGGAGAAGGCGTCACCTCCGCATCTGCGTCTTTTTCCTTTTACAACGCCATGCGCCACTCCTCGCCCGCCCCCCTGCGACGAGTCATTCTGCACCCGTCTGCTCGCCCATTCTCGAGTAGCTCCGCCTGCCGTCGCGCGTTCCAAGGCAAGACGCCCGCTGTCTCCCGCTCGACGCCGCTCACCACCCCGTAGAAGGCGACCTCGTGCTGCTGCGCGAGAAGAAGGACACGCACGATGGCCGCCTCGTGAAGCTGCATGCCGACAAAGCAACCGGCACACACCGCGGCGTCATCCAGCATGCCGACGTGATTGGCAGGCAGCCGCGCCAAATCGTCCAGTCCAACAAGGGCGCCACGTACCGCATCCATGACCCTACGCTGGCCGAATACGTCAGGCTGACCCCTCGTCTGGTCACTCCGGTGCGTACCTACGCCAGCAGTCCCAACGAGGGTCTCCGCAGACAGTCGAGGATTGACATACCCAGCTCTACCCATCCGATACAAATCTTATAGTCTCCCTGCTCGATATCCACGTAGACAGACCCGCGGCTGGGCTCAGTACCGAGCCGCCGTTTGAGATACTCGAAGCCGGTACAGGCCATGGCGCCCTGACTCTGCACCTGTCGCGCGCCATACACGCCGGGAATCCGCCCGTCCCACGAGCACCTCTGCACGCTGCCACCGAACATGAGCCAGAAGACGCAGTCTATGGCGGCGAATCCATGGCCGATCTTCAAGACTCGTATCTCGAGTCGTGGAAGCAGAACCGCCGCGCCATCATACATACGCTAGACATATCGAGCAAGCACTCCCAGCACGCAAGGAAGATTGTCCAAGGCTTCCGACATGGATTGTATGCTGGGAATGTAGACTTCCACGTTGGAGATGTGTCGGACTGGATTGCCAAGCAGAAAGCTTCAAGGAAAACCGAACAGCCCTTCTTGAACCATGTATTCCTCGATCTGCCCAATGCGACCGCCCATCTTGCCAACGTCGCCCCGGCCCTACACGTCAACGGCCTGCTCGCCGTCTTCAACCCCAGCATAACCCAGATTGCTCAATGCGTCGAAGCAATCCGCGAGCACAAAATGCCCTATCTGCTCGAGCAGGTGGTTGAGCTTGGGGCTGGCACAATCCGCGAATGGGATGTTCGCGCCGTCAAACCCAGGGCGACTCTGCAGAAACCCGCCGCCGCACAGCAATCTTCTGCGTCGTCCGACCATGAAAACTCAGACTCGGAATCCGACCAAGCTGCCAGAGACAGCGAGCTCGAGGCAGTCCTAAACAAGGCGGAAGAAGAAAACTGGGCCATGGTCTGTCGTCCCAAGGCCGGGCAGCAAGTCGTTGGAGGTGGCTTCTTGGGCCTATGGCGCAGAATGGAACAGACTAGCTACCAAGAGCCAACAGACTGAGAAAAAAAAAGACAATTACGTGTACCGTTACAAGATGGCTGTGCTCGCTGTACGCAAGACGTAAAACTATGAGCAGCAAAAAAAAACAGAAGATCACCATCATACATGTGTGTAGATATATATAACGCGCTACTCTTATCAAGAACAAGTTATTCAAAAAAAAAAACAAGGGTGGGGGGGGGAGGTCTTCAAAAAGGCTCAGTTTGCCAAAACCCAAGATTAGTCGGTGCAACCTGACCCAAGAAAGTCTCGTCAAATCCAAACCCATACGAACCAATTAAATCATACATGTTGTACTCGTTTACGGGATCAGCACTGCTACTCGCACTGACCTCGTGGCTTGTCGTGACCGACTTTACGGGATCGAAAATCTGCGATGTTGCTGGTGAAGGTGCTATTGCTGTTGCTGTTGCTGTTGCCGTCGTCGTGGTATAGTGGTGGTGGTTGTGGTTGTGGTGAGGTGTTGTCGAGGGCGGGTGGCCCGTCGATGGCGCGGGGGTGCCTGCGACATCGATGCGCTGGAGCAGGTCGTTGATGCCCTGGACGATATGGCGCGTAATGTGTTTCTCGCTGAGGTTGTTTGCGACTTTAGCCAGGAACGAGGCGGAGCGGCGCGACAGCGACAAGACCTGGTTGATGTTGAAGTTGAGGCCGAGGCCGAGCGGCTCGGTAGGCCATTCGGGTGACTGGACCTGCGCGACGCCGCCCCACGTCTTTGCGATTTTAAGGAGGAAGGTGGCGCTGAAGGCCACCATGGTGTGGGTGAAGATGGGCACGGCCGTCATGGCGCGGCGCAGGTCGGGCTCCTCGAAGATCAGCGTTAGGATGCTCGTGGCGGCTGTGATGGCGATGTTGGCGGCTTCGCGCCGGTCGTACGACAGCGACTCCGAGGTCGCGGCGCTGGGCGAGGGCAGCGCTCGCAGCGCCAGCGAGTTGAGCTGGAACCGCGCAAAGTGGTAGTACAACACGACGCCTTTGGACGGGTACGACCCGATGGCTGGGCTGTCGGCCGACTTGGATTGCCACGCCAGGCGCCACTGCTCAATGGCAAAGTTGAAGAGGCGGAGTTGCTGGAAGTCGGGCTCGGTAAGGGGCTGTTCGGGGTCGCTGCCGTACGCAATGTAGGCTTCGGTTAGGATTTTGAACAGCGTGACTTGGGCGCCCAGTCGAATGTCGCCGGGCGTCGTCTTGGGGCTGTCGAGGAAGCGCTCAATGTTCTTGACTGCCACGTCGTCGTTGATCATCGACGGCCGGCCGTACGCAATGCTGAACTGGTGGTCGCACACGTACAGCGCGAACCAGAGCCTGACGTTGTCGCGCTGGTCCTCGTGGCCGCGCATGAGCTTCTGGTAGGCCGTGTGCAGATTCATTTCTACGGCGCTCCTAACGGCGATGCCGGCGAGTTTCCAGCTCAGATTCGAGAGATAGAAGGCGGCAAGAGCCAATGCGCGTATGTCGTCGAGGTTCTGGGGCCGCGCCAGCGTAGCACTGTAGACTAGCGAGACAAAGATGTTGTAGCACTTTTGCAGAGCTTCGTCTCGTCCAGGCGTGTGCAGCGCTGACACCGTCAGGACTGCTGCAGTCAGCAGCGTAGAGTGACGGCGTACTGCCATGAGAGAGTCGTAAGGAAAGAGCACGCCGGCCCACAGGTAAAGGCGCATATCTTGCATGTACCGCTGAAAGAGTTCCTCGGCTTCCTGCAGGGACACGATACCCTGGGCGATAAAGTCCTCCTCGACAGAGTTGGACTTGGGCTTCCATCGCGCACTGCTCCGAAGGTTCCGGATCCGCGTCAGGTCGTACAGGCTTCTCATGGGCGCCGTCACCAGGCCCGACTCCTCGCCGGAATCGCGCTCGACCGAGTTGTCGCGCGTCATGTCCATGGGCGGCGGAACAACCAGGGTCGTGTGGCCATTCTCAGACACGACGTTTGTCGGCGTCACAGTCACCGTCTGGCCCGACGGCGGCTGGGGAGATTCCATCTGAGGGCTGTCCAGGTCCGGGAGCTTGTTGAGGTGAAGCAGGCGTTGAACAGCGGAGCGCAGCCGCCCTATCTCAGCTGTCGCATTTGCCTTCCATCTGCAAACATTAGCAAGGAGCCCAACGCCGTGCGAACAGGAAGCATTTACGCAGCATCTTCGTCGAGAATGCGCTGGTTGATGTTGTACGGCACGCATTCGGTGCCGCTCCTCAGACATTTTGCGCATTTGGCCTCATTGTCGACGGGCTCACACTTGATCTTGTGCCTCTTGCACTCTGCGCCTATTTGGTGGTGAGCATTCTGTATGCCCCAGGGTCTTTTGGGTTCTTGGTGTGGGTCGGGCTCACAAGCTCTTATTCTCGGCGTGCGTGGCGCAGGCCGCCGCCCTTCCTCGTGGTCTGCATCTTCGCTTGGACGCTTCAGTGGAGACATCTCCATGCCATCGGGCCTTTAGAAAATAGAGGCCGTTGAGTATCGTCCTTGATGCGACATGAAAACTCGCACCGTCATGTTCGCGCTCGTGACTTGGTGAGACGGTTGGCCCGAGGGGTGGATGACCGGAGGCTAGGCCAGACCAGCCATCGCGAAAGTTGGCGCCTTACCCAATTGAGCCACGCCGGTCATTCCCTCTGATGCTAAAACCTCCCTCGACTAGTTTTCCTTGTCTTCCCCAGCCCCTATAACTTTGTCTATGATATTCCGGATTGTGAGACGAGAATCCATAGCCTTCACCTGAACCACGAGTCTCAAGGCCTGTACAGTGTGCAGCAGTGCTGGACAGGTACCACATGGAAGAATAGTCACTCCGCCCATGAACTGCTTCATAACCAGTAGTTGCTGCTCTTAAACAACTTATGTTGTGGAATTCAACAGTCAATCTCCGGGAGCATGAAGAAAACAACAAGACGCATAAGTTCTGGAATCGTGTGGTTACAAGTCCACCATCCGCTCACTACGTAGCTGGACTAACGGACTAGGGGCTATTTCATCGCTTTCCGGTCGGACATACCATCATAAATCGCATAATATAGAATGGAAGTCCGGGTCCAAAGACCCTTGCCTCTCATTTCTTCGGTTCTAGAACCAAGTTCGCCTTCAACACCTCTGCACTTTCCACATCTACAGTTGTCGTTCTCTCAATGACTTCTTTCGTTTCGACCGTAACACCTTGCTTTTCACTGCCTTTATCATCATCTACTTTTGAGCCCGAGTTCACGCTGTTTTGTGGTAAGGTATCATGGAGAATATCCGTCTGCAACTCGATGTCGCCGTTGCTGCGCCGGTAGCCTCTGAAACGGCGCCAACGGTTCGACAATGGACTTGGTACGAATGGGTCGGGCTTAGGAGAAGTATCAAAGTAAGGAATGAAACGTGCCTAACGCCTGAGTCAGCTTACTTCATACACGAGTAATCTGTCAAAGGTGCCTACCAAGATCCATTTGATCGTAGGTCCGCAAGCAGCAATCACACCCAGATTGCCCTCTATATTGGTTAATGCGTTCCGAACATTGTAGGGGTTCTCGTCGGCCATTCCCTTTGGTAATCTAAAGACTGCGATGAACATCTGCAGACGATAGCAGCCAATCGCCGTTACCGCAAGTGGAAGAGAGAGAAACAGTATCACGGCGACCTTGTTCTTCATAGGCATCCGGAGATCGTGAATAATCCATGCAGGTATCAAAGAGACGAGGAAATCGGTAGCGATGGTCGTACCAATAGTACCATAGATGTACGGAGGGCGATGAGGGCAATGGCCAGGGATGTCCGGATGCCACGCTTTCTCGATTGGCCAGCACTTGACGATGCCTCCGAGAACTGCAAGGATGATGAAGACAATATTCACCGCGATTGATGTCCACAGACTTGCGATTATCCACCGGTTATAAGACCGAAGCTTCAGGAGAGTGATCAAGAATGAGATCTTGACGAGACCGAGGACGGGGTTGTGGAGGATGTTGTTGATGTAACGCCACTGTATTGTTCTTGTCAGTATCACACTATTCGAAAAAGTGTTTGATGCAGTTGGGAAACTTACAAAGAGTAAGTCAACTTGGTTGACCGCGCCTTTCGGGATGTCCTCCGCGTGATATCCTGCGTAGGACACCATGACAACTAGTTTCAACGGTTATTGAATGTAGTTTCGTGTGATTGCATTGAAATACATTTACACATAGTGGCTGCAAGTGCAGCTGAGATGGCTTCTGCAATTACGAGAAGCCAGTCTTCTACATCAGTTGTGAGTCAAGTTTCGTCAATCACACAGACGGCAATAGACCCCTTACCAATACCGAATTTGCCGTCTTTGATTTTTCTCCATACTCTGATTGAAACAATGGTAAGAGATAGAATAAAAGGTAAAACAATAAGTACAAGGTTCGCCGGCTGAAGACCAGTTCCCGCCATGGTAGCGATGGCAGAGAACGACGATCACCCAGGTGAGACCACTAGCTTGAATGTGCGGTCATACCCGCAATCATATATAAGTCACAACAGACATAATTTGCTGGTCGATCATTATGTTGGAGCATTCAGGTTGCGACCCGGTAACGAATGCGAAGATACAACGCCGCAATCCTCCAGGCGGGCATCATTCCCGTACCATATAACGCGTCTGATTACTCTCTTGCGTCCGGCCAGCTGGGACATAGGACGATAGAGTCTTAGCTGACATGGCGGTAGCTTTGAAACAGGGTCGAGTCTACTGCGGCAATCGTCTACCTGTGATACCAGGGCATACTCGAAATTTACATCGCTTCTCGCCCAGATACCCCATTTTCAACTTGACACCACTTGATTTCACGACTGAACAACATGCTTACCTGTACTCGCACCCTCGTCTCACCCTGCAATGCTTTCAGCAGACGTCGGTCTGGAGAATTGACTACCAATGCATGGGTAAACAATCCTGCAAAGGATGGCTTTTGGGCCAAGCTGGCGCGACCCTGGAGAGCTTCGGGGTATGTACTGATGGAGCAATGTGCACATCCCTTGCATTGCCACTCATCCAATTGTATCTGAAGACTAGTGGAGTACAATGTGACTGCAGGGAATAGCAGGCTTGCCGCATGGACTACTGTTGATACCAAGACCTTGGCTCGCAGTGAAGAGGCGGCTGTACCAAGCGGATGGGTGTGAGCTAAGTACCTAGCGAAGCGTGCCGTGCCCCGCGAGCGCCTCTCCGCGGAACGCCTCCCCTTGAACATCAAAATCCACGTACAATTGTAAAACAGTCGCTCATGAACAGTCTCAGTCAGTACCCCATAACATATAGTGACCATGAAATATCTAATCGTTCATTCATCCTACCCCAGCTTTCATGATTCAGGTACAAGTGGCGACCAAGGAATCAACGCTCAGAACTGTGCCGCAAAGCGGCATCTCACGCCATATACCACCCAACATACGGTGTGTCAAGCTGTAAATCTTCCAGATGCATAATACTGCATCGTACAGTTGCATCGGCAACAGAGGAATAAGTCGGCACGTGCGGCAATTCACGCGCAGCCTTTGATCCTACGGACCAGACACATCTTGATTGGATAGGAACGCCCCCGAACTGTGGCGAACAAGCTCTATTCTGAAGGAAGTGAATGCTAGGGTACTGTATGGATGCAATTCAATCACCCATGCCGTTTTTCGACCTGTCACTGTCTTTTGTATGCAGTCCCTGCGCAAACCCGCCCCTTTCGCTTCGCTGCTTTGCCCTCGTTCGGCAGTTGCGCGATTGAACGAATGGCTTTCTACAGCCTAGAGTACCTGTACATGATTCACGAGTTGGACTTGCATTGAAGACCCACGAAGAAGCGGTAGCCGACCGGTTAAAGGAATAAGATAAAATGGCGAAGCGCCCGTAGCTCAGTCACCCGTCTCAATCACAATCACATCGTATTCGGATCTCGATTCACTCACCATGGTCCCATTACTGCGGGTAGCCATATTCTTGGCTCTCTCGCCAGCCGCTGTTCTTGGTCAATCCTCCTCGTTCCTTCAAGTCGAGCCAGCAGCCACCTCCGTCCCAGTCACCGCACCGGCAGGCGCCCCATTGCAGGAAGCTGAAACTCTTCAACTTACCGATGCAGTGGTTGAGCGGCTTGCTTCCGACGAGGCCACAGCCGAATATGCCGAGTACTTTACGTTCGATAATAGCAGTTTTGCCAACCCTGCGCGTGCTCGACGGGCTGCCTCCGCAGAATGCAAAACCTTTCCTGGCGACCCAGCATGGCCCAAGGACATTGTCTGGGACGTTTTCAATGTTCTTCTAGGCGGAGCACTGATTCCAACCAAGCCTGTTTCAGCGCCATGCTACGACTCCAAATGGGGAAAAAAGGACGCCGCACAGTGTGCCGATGTTACTCAAAACTTCACAAATGCGTACTTCCATGCAGATGACCCGACTTCCAGTAAGAGCACTATTTGTTCGGTCTAGACTACCGATGGTCGCTGACTTGACTTCCAACGCGTAGACATGTGGCCAATCTACCAAGGCAGAACTTGCATGCCCGGCAATGACACCGCTGGCAAAACATGCACTCTGGGTGGGTTTCCAGAGTATGCTATCAAGGTCACGAATGTGGCTCAGATTCAACTCGCTATCAACTTTGCTCGGGCTACCAACCTCCGCCTTGTTATCAAAAACACTGGACATTGTTTCCTGGGAAAGTCGACCGGTGCTGGGGCTCTTAGTCTGTGGATGCATAAAATGGACAAGATTGACTTTATTCCAAATTATGAGGGTCCAGGCTATTCGGGTCCAGCCATGAAGCTCTCGGCTGGGGTACTCGTACGACATGTGTATGAGGCTGCCGAGAAGCACGGTGTTACTGTGCTGGGTGCGGTCTCTTGGGTAAGTGATTTGGTCACCGTTTATGAACAACATGCTTATTGAATGCAGAGCGTTGGTTATGCTGGCGGTATGATCGCCGGAGGGGGCCAAAATCCCCTGGCCGGTATCTACGGAATGGCGGCCGATCACGTTGTGGCTTTCCAAGTCGTTACTGCCAATGGACGTTTTATCACTGTATCCGAGGTATCAAACCCAGACCTGTTCTGGGCGCTCAGGGGTGGTGGCGGTGGTACATTTGCCATTGTAACATCCGTCATCATTCGAGCGCATCCAAAGATCAACGTCGTTGCCTCGCAGTTCTACCTTGACGCTACAAACAACAGTGCCGAAGCCTTCTGGGACGGAACCAGGAAGTTTTATGAGACATTCCTGGATTGGGCCGACGCAGGCATCTACTCTTTTTACATCATGGGCAACACCCCATCCCCTTTCATCAACGCGCGATACATCTTCGCTCCAAACCACACCTTGGAGTCATACACCAAGGTCGTCAAGCCCTTTTTCGACTACCTAGACGCCAAAAATATCACTCTCAGTCAGCCTCATCTCAGCGTAGCCCACAGCTCATTCTACTCTGCCTACCAGACGATGTGGGGCATAAACCCGTTCCCGATTGGACGCGACGACTCCATGGCCGCCAACCGCATCATCCCTCGCCGCAATTTCCAAGAAAAGTTCAACCAAACCTACGCACTAATCAAGGAACATGTTTCTCTAGGCAAACATCTTCTAGGATACCACAAGGCACCGAAAAAGTACGCAAACACGAACAACGCCATTCACCCTGCGTGGCGCGAGTGCGGCATGTTCATGGTCACCTCGACCAACAAGTCTCTGGATCACACTACGCCCGAGGGTCTCGCCATCGCCAACGAGGATCTCCAGGAGAACATCTTGCAGCCCTGGCGCGAACTCACACCTGTGTCTGAGGGTGGCGGTACGTACCTGAATGAAGCTCATGTTGGAGAGGCCGACTGGCAGGAATCCTTCTATGGCGGATACTACCCTCGCCTCAGCGAGATCAAGCGCAAGTGGGACCCCAACGACGTATTTTACGCCACGACTGCAGCTGGCAGCGAGAGGTGGGAGGTGCGAGACGGGGATCAGGGTGTGCAAACCCAGAATGGAAGACTGTGCCGTGTTTAAGGTTATGACGTATGACGGATGACATGAATAGACGCACGAATAGAGTTTTTATAGTTTATAGAATTCATTTATGGTTATTACATGTCTTGTTTTTGTTTTTGTTTTTTTGTGGGGTCTACTTTTTACGAGGCTTGAGAAGGTTTAGAGTTTTCTTGTCAGAACTCGGGCATTGGCAAAATTAGCAAAGTGAGGCAGCCTTGTGTAGAAACTATATATTTCCAACCCTCTTCTAGTCATCAATTTCTATGGGAAGCAGATGCTCAGGTAAATACTCACCGAGCCAGGACACACCGTAATCTACATGGCCGAGCAAACATGAAGTTCCACTCAGAAACCCAGGATACCGAACAACAACCCTGGCCTTAAACCATATTTCCCTCTCCCTCAATTTCTGCGTCTAACGATTTTCTCACGCCTTGCCAACCAGTATGCCTCTCTGGTACAATCCTGTAATAATGCCCACACCCCTGCCCACGTCCCTCGCAAACGTGGTACTGCTACCAAATTCCTCTCCACTACCTCTATATACGGTTTTCATCCCCTCTTCCTCGCTCCATTCAGCCACCCAACTCGGTGACGAAAGCTCACAAGCCTTCTTCGCCTCATCGTCACCCTGCGAATCACAATTCGCTCTCGTCTTGCTGACAGCCATCAGCGCAAAGGCGAAGGGATGTCCCGCCATGAGGAGCTTTCCCTTGGAGTCGACCGAGAGGTTATCGACGGCAGCCGGAACGCGAAAGTGCTTTACATACTGCAGTTCAACGGTATCCGGGTTGAACGTGTACAAGTAAATACCCGGTTTGGCAGTCGATGCTACGGCCACGGTGGTCGCGTTGAGCATCGTGACGCCGTTTGCGAAGCCCACGCGCGCTAGCGTCTTTGCTTCAGACGGATTGTTCATGTCGAGGTATACAACGCTGCCGCCGGGGATGGCGGAAAAGGTTTCGACTCTGGAGAGGAGAGGCGAGGTCAAGGCGCCGATGTAGTGATCGTTTGTTACCAGTAGCTTGCCGTTGCCGAGGGTGTGAATGGAATTGGGTGCGGGGAGCATGGGGTGTTTTAATGTTTGTACGTGTTTTGCTGTTGCGTCTTTCACCGAGACCTGGAATACTTCGAGCGTGTTGCTGGAGTTGCGGGAGTGGTTGATCAGGTAGAGTGTCGATGTTGCAGCCTCGAATTCAATGCCTAGAGGCTGGAAATCTGCTACGTTGGGATAGTCGATCAACTTGAGTGGCTTGAGGGCTTGTGATTCCGGGAGGCCGGCCGTTGAGTAATCGTAAATCCAGATGTGTGCGGCGTCTTCCCCGTCTTTTTTCGCAAGAGGTGGTGCGAATGTGCCCTGCTCCGTATCAGCTCTATGGATTACTAGGAACTCAAAATTTCTTCTCCGCTAGGATAAAATGCAAAGAAAGCTCACCATGACGGTATTCCACTGGTCTCTTTCAGGGTTGCAGCTCAAGAAGGCGATACCCATTGCCTCCTCAAACAACACATCTTCGCAATTCCGCAACCGGTCGCTAAACTTGACTTCATGTTGTTTGAAAGCATTGGCATACTCGATTTTCGCGGGATGGTTTGCGAACATTGTTGACAGCGTGAGATAGCGGTCGTATGCATAGGGCGCTATTGCCGCTAGCGCGACAAGGAGCTACAAGGTGGTTAGTTGTACCCTAGGTTTGAGATTTGGGGGCCATACAATCGATCGTTGTGCCATTGCTACCTCTTTTCCGTGTGGTAGCAAAGTCATGGAGATGGCGGGGTCGAAGGTGCTGCAGGACAACCGAGTTTAAGATAGTGTGCTGCTTACGCGCTTGAACAGCTGTCAGCCATACCCACCTACGGGACTACGGCTGACAACGTTATCAAGAGGTGTCTCGTCAGCAACCGGAGGGCTATAGACTCCTTGGTAAGTCATGCATGTCTCTTTTCGCCTCGGGATTACGCCCAATCGCATCTCGTTCGGCGCAGAATAATCCTAATGGGGAATATGTACAGGGATATTGCTTTTGCGGAGTTTGACATTGCATTACTATTCTTTCACACGTGACCTCAACGAATTCGCGCTCAAACAGCCCCGCCTTCTCCAGATACCTCATGTACATGGAAACGTCGGATTACTATGTCGTTATGCTAGATATGGCGCACTGTTGCCTATTTGGGATTAGTGCATTTCTACTCGCCCACCGAGCGCGAATCCAAGCCCCACATTTGCTCAGACCAACAAGTGCTGATGATGTTACAACAAATGAGAAGATTGAAATAAATAGCGAAACAGAACCCTTAGGCCGTGAGATTCCGGTCATCCATGACCATTCCACAGATCCGCAGAGTGCGCAGCATGCACTTCGTTCTGTAGTAAACATTACTCTGTATGATCTCGAGCATGTTCACAGCAACAGGGAGAGCCCGGTGACAAGTATGATGAGTTTGGTATGCGAGGACAGTACCTGATTGATTTGAAAACACACGGCAAACGTACCAAAAATGTTTCAACTCATGCTTATTTCAGCATGAACACATTCGGATATTATTCACTAGATCTATCCGCCAATTAATTAATTTCCTATAACGCTGTGTAGTATTACAAACTCGCCAAGCACAGAGCGCTCAACGGGCCACATCCGCAAACACGGGCCGCATACCACTATAGTACTTACCTTACGCGCGATATATGGGAAACCTAGTCCAACTAGTCACTGCAAACAGCGCAAAGACAAAAACATCTGGCTCTTTGGTATGGAGGGCGATTAAGATATGTCGTTGAATCGATGATACACATGGCCCAATTGGGTCCTAGAACTGTTTCTTCGCTTAGCGACGATTAGATACCTACTACAACATGCTACTAGTACACGTCCGGCAGGGTAACAAATAGAGTTTTTCCAGGGCTGATTTTTGACAACGTCAGATGTAGGCAGTAAGCGAGTTTGTGGCGCAAAGACAGAGTGGATTGATTTGACAGCTGTCGCGAATAAGTAAATATAAAGTAGCGGGAAAAAGAAATTATCCAGATCTTGTGAAAGACGGTGGTATGCCGAAGCAATGTCAAGCTCGGTTACCATCAGAGCTGGTACGTGAGGGATGGCGGAGTTCCACAAAATGGTAAGCTAGGCCACCACTAGATCTTATGAAGGATGGTAGAACTTCAAAACATAGCAAGCTCGGTTACTATTAGACCTCTTTCTCTCTCTCGGACTTGGGGAATGGTGGGTCTCCGAGATATATTAGGCTCGGCTACTATTAGAACCCCGCCCCGCTTCCGGATGATGCCGCTCTCTCAGAGTATAAATAGCGTATACGAGTACCTGGAGTGACTTGTCCCTTTCTACTAATCTGTCGTAGGAATATTAGTAGTTTGCTTTCCATGGGTGATTTTGACGTGTGGCGCTGCGGGTTTCATCACACAGTAGGGTGCGTGGTAGGATATGGCAGTGAGGTACTTTACCTCGTACGCTTTGTACAATCAGTAGCTAGTAATGAATAATGCACATATTTACAAAGATTGGAATCTTTTCAAAAGACACAGGAAGCTATTCCTAACATAAACTTTGCTTAGCGGCCCCTGTTTGTAGTGATGCTCGATTGCGAGAACGACTTGAACAACGCGGATTTCGACTGCTTAACTACCCGAAAACTAAGCGCGAATAGCCCTTTTTTATTTCGACTCATAATGAGTGATTTCCTTTTACGTCATAGTAGATTGATAAATAGTTATAGTGGCGACTGCGCCGCAGTCAGCCGGCTCGAGGTCCATGTCAACCAACTCGCAGTAACCAAGCATACCCCTCACTGCCATCCAATTCCGGATCAAAGTGGGTTAGAACAGTCGTCATAGGCTGTGTGATTGCATATTTCATGATGAGGAGTGTAAGGGTATAAAGGGGAGCTTTGTTGCAGCTGAAACTTCTCAAGCCATCTATTCTCACGAGCTGTACACAACAACAATAACCATGACGAACACGAAGAAAGTTGCCATTGTAACTGGCGGTAATAGTGGTATGGGCGAGGGACTTGTCCGGCGGTTGGTGGAGAAGGGATGGCATGTTGCCATTGCCGATATTAAAGAAAACAAGCAGTTTGCTCAAGAACTAGGTGATGCTGCTAGCTTCCATCAGTGTAACGTAGCGGACTACGATAAGTATGTCAGCCTCTAGTTTGCTAGGCTATTTATTAACCAAAAGAAGCCAGGCCAGGGTGTTCCAGGAAGTGTGGGATCGCCACGGGAGAATCGATGCGCTCTGTGCCAATGCGGGTATCGTCGATAGAAGGTACGTTCTGCAGGCATCATGGTTGGATAACTGCTGACTTTTGCAGCTCAATCTTTATTTTCGAACATCGCGGCTCTGACAAGTAAGATCTGGATGCCGCCAGCGCCCCCGTTTCTGCTGACTGTGGCAGGATTCCCCCGAAACCCGATACGACTTGTACCGACGTGGACTACAAAGCCGTCGTGTATGGTACGCAGCTGGCGATCCACTTCTTCCGCAAGAATAAAGTACCTGGTGGTAAAATCATTGCCACGGCCAGTGTCGCTGGGATTGCTTGCTACGAAACGTTTCCAGAATACAGTGGGGCCAAGGCAGCTGTAATCAACTTTGTCCGAACAACGTCACGCCTACTGAAAGAGGTAGGCTTATACGGGCTGGGATAGCGATAAAGTAGACGCTAATGAAGCACAGAAAGAGAATATCAAAATCAACGCCGTCTGTCCTGGTGAGTAGCCCGGGGTTCTCCCTTGTCCAGTCAGTGGGCTGACATGTTCAGGCATGGTGCATACGCCCATCATGCCACAGATAATGGTCGATGCTATGGAGCTAGAGTAGTATGTGTCTGTTTCTGTCTCGAAACTATTGATTGACATACCGCAGCTTCACTCCTATATCGACCATTGTGAGCGCATATGAAAAGTTCCTCGAAGACGACACCTTGTATGGCCGGGTCGTGGAGTGCTCAATACAGGAGCACTTCTTCCACGACACGCCAAAGCTTGCCAACGGTCGCTTCTCACAAAGGGCCGTTGCCGTGTGGGATCCGCTGTTCAAAATGTAAGCATCATGTCAGAGACAATTGCCAGGCTGATATAAGATGCAGGTACCATAAAGAAGGTTCTGGTCTGTCCGATGCGATTTCTTGAAAGAGCAATGTGCTGTTTAGAGTTTATTGGATATGGTACAATTGCAGGTCTCAGGCGAGCAGCAGTAGATATGCTAATCTGGATATGGTTATGAAACATGTGGCTCAACTCTTTTTGGTGCGAGGGACATGTTTGATGCGCTTGCCGATGGATTTACAAGCCTATTTTTTGCAAAATCTATAGTTGGTGTCATGGTTGTGTACGTAGCACGCATCGGTCCAGATACCTTTTCGGCTGCTGTTCAAGATATGCCGCTGGAATAATCAACGCGTCATCCCTGTTGTTGTGGAGAGCCGGGATGTGAGCACTAATGTCGTCGCCTGATCGCCAGTGACAGACAAGAGATGCGTTGAGCCAACGGCGCCTCAATGCCGAGAGCCTTTTCCAGATGGGGCGACTCAAAAGGGTTGGCGAAGTTGGGTAATACGATCGAGATGGATACTATGGGCACATGTGTATTCAGAACCGAAGAGCGCGCATGTCGTCGAGTTTGCGGTTCGTGCGCTCGGTTGGCCATGAACAGGTGGTGTTGGAGAGGGATTTAGGGTTTGCCTGGTGTTCCAGCTGGAGTCGTCCGAGCGTAGCACAGTTCAAGCAGGTATCGAGGCTCGCCGTGGGAGATAGCACCGCAGCGTCAAGCAATGTCCAAGATGGAGAGGGATAGGGGCGCAGGGTGGCTTATTGGCTTGGCGATTCGGAACGTGGAGACAGTGTGAGATGGCATGGCCGCTGGCGAATCTTTCACAGGGCGTGGCAGGCGGATGACGAGTCTAGCGCCGCAAGCGTGGTGGTGGTGGTGGCCTATAGGGCCATGTGTTAAGGGCGGGATGCTATGTGCCAGCTGCGTCGGCAGCTCTCTTTTCAGCAGCTCGCGGTCGCGGTCGTGGCCAGGTGGGTTGGAGTGGGCTGCAGTGGGCTGGGCATGCCTTGTCCAGGCCAGCAGGTCGTCCAAAGGAGCCTTATTGCCGCACAAGGGCGGGCTGCTTGGCGGCCGTATGGGGCCTAGCGCCGGGCTGGAACAATGTCGTCCCATTTTTCTGGCCAGACCACGGCCAGGACCTCTCTTGTTCAGCGATTGCCTGACACCCACCAGCACATCCAATACCGCACCGGCCTATCACGCCGCCCGACCTGCCGACCGTGATTAGATCCAAGACTCTATTACCCGAGCCGCATGGCCATGGCCAGTCATCCGCCAAACCGCCAAATCCTGAATGTTGTCGGGGCCAGTGGGGTGGCGCTAATTAGCTGCCCAGCTATGGGGCTCGTGGCGGGCGGCATTCCGAAGTGCCATGGCAATCGCCATAAGGGCTGCCCGTTCCCAGCCAGGCGCTGAATGAAACCGCGACATCGTTCCTAACGACTGTTCGGTGACGATCGACACGCAAGAAGCACGCCCCCCGCGCCCCGCCAACTGGTTGTCACTCTTTGCCTTTTTCCCCATCGCCGCTGTTTACCCCTGGCGGCCCGCAAAAAAGCCACCGACATTTGCTCGGCTGCTGCAGGTACCCGATCTGAACTGGACCTCTGGACGCTGAAAGAAAAGAAAAAGGCCGCCGACAGTGAGATTGGACGGCCCCGTGTCGAAACAAAGAAGTCATAGTGCCAGAGGGAGAAACAAGACACGGCCATGGGCTGCATGAATTCGTCAAGATTTCATCGTTAATTATAGCACCATCACCTTGCCGTTTACTGCAATGGATGCGCACCATATTATCAATCCTTCCGAGTCGCTAGCGACTGTGTCGCACCATCGTCCCCTGCCAACGCTCATAAGGCAACACGAAAACCGCAGCTGCTGTGTTTCCTTATATTGGCGCGTGTCACCACGGCTCGGCTCTTCTTTCCGCGCGCTGCTCCTGTTCCTCGTTGCATTTCTATCCTGCAACTCCCTTGCTGCTCCCGTCTTCGTAGCTGGAGCCCATGGTGATCGACCAGTGCTACTCGTGGAAGACGACCTTGCATGGACTGGATCGGCGCTGCGCCTCGATCTCAGTCCTCCGCCGACGGTTCCGCAATTGATGCCTCCATTACAGCGCGACGACGACGACGACGACGACGACACCACCCACATCCACAACGCGCCGCCATTGAAACGAGCCCTCGACACGGATCCTAGTAATGCCGGCAGTGGCGACTTTTCAATTCCCACGGCCTTTGACTCGGGGCTGTCGAACAACTTTACCAACTCATGCGCCAAATTCCTGAACTCGATGCGTCAACAGAATGATTTTAAGAACTGTCATCCTTTTTCCTTGCTCATGCAGGTAAGCCGGCCGTACTCCTGCGTCCACGACTCAGGCTAACAGCTTGCAGACATCAAGTGGTTTCTTCGATGCTTCCAAGTCCACACTCCGCATCACCCAGACTCTCGACGCGACATGCGGCGTCAACGCAACACAATGCCAAACAGTCATGAACAAATACGCCTTGCAAATGCTGTCCCCATCAGCATGCCCGACAGACTACGCAGGCGATAATCCCACAGTCCTGGGGACCTACAATGGCTTAATCGCATACATGCCGGCATATCAGGCAAGTTGCCTGCACGACGATCAAGGCAACTATTGCTTTGCAAATGCCGTCAGCAACATTACGTCTCCTGGAGACGCATACCCGTTTTACCTACCCATTGGCCAGCAGCTTCCAGGTGGATCTCGGCCGACTTGCAACTCGTGCTTGCGCCAAGAAATGGGTGTGTTTGCGTCTTACAGTACCAACACTACACAGCCCATTTCCAAAACATACACTTCAGCCGCACAGCAAATCGCAATAGCGTGTGGTTCCAACTTCATCGACGTCAAGGCCGCTCCCGCCAAAAGCGCCGCATCGGCAACCAGCGCGCCCCTGACACCTACCATTACCCTTATTCTAATGTTTTTACTTTTCCTCTTCCAATGATGGACCGATACCCCAAAATACACGATTCCTGTATATATTCTATTTTTATTGTCTATTCCCATTCGACCTTGTTGACGATAGATCATGAGCGACGGCGTTTGTATTGTTAATCACGGGCTGATGCGGAGGTGGACAAGGGTGCCATGGAATGCTGGGACGCAGAGCACCGGTGTTCGTATGCGGCAAAAGAGAGTTTGTAGGATGTTCGGAGTCACCATGGGCCGTCCAAGGGCGAATTTGTTATCTATGCGCCCCTTTCCGTCGGAATACGACAGAGGCATTACGTAGGCTACACGACGGAATGGTCCAAAGCTGTTCACATATTGCACTAGACATCAGACCCAGCAAATGTTTCGTGAACATATGCTCGCACCGCGGCGCGTGGATCGACGAGAGTGCTACACTGGGTCCCAAAGAGTATCAAGGACCATGGCACGAACCATGAACCCGGAAAACCCGGTCGCCCCAAGCCACGCAATCTATCAGCTGCAGTCCAGTACTTCCGGCCCCTGGAATCGGCTCGCGGCCGCATGGTTGATTAGAATCCTGGTCGGAGAAGATGATTCTAGACGGGATCTGCGAGCTGTTGGCAAAACATGGGAAGCGAAGGCATGGCTCCAAGGGCGGGCGGCCATGATGCGTGGGCCGACGAACGTCATGCGTGTCGGCAATGCATGTGCAGCCTGTGGAGCTAGCCTGGTATCAGGCACCGTTCTTCGGATAGCCTCTGTCTCTGCTATTTCGGTGGGCTGAAACGTGTCGTGGGCGCGTCACGTGCAAAGTCATGCTCGCGGAGTGTGTCGCCGTCTGCCAGGCGACAACGCCTAAGGTGTCAGAGGTTGCCAATGCGCTTCATCCTCGCGCTGCCAAGGCGTCGAAGCGATGCTGACTTTTCTAGCGACAATCTACCTATGACATTTCATCAGCCGTGATCATCGCGCGCGCACGCGATGACGAGGCTCGCCAATCTCCGCTTGCCTTACGGTACCAATGCCACACACGTCTATCGATACCGCCCCGCGTGCCGGTGGGGCCTCGCGCCCTCCTGTCATCTCCAGCACGCATACCCGGGGCATGGATAATCTGCGCGGTCAGAGGCCGTCAGCTGTGACAGGCCAGCCTTTTCCTGGCCATTATGTCAAACACTTCATGCAGTTGAAAGGCCCGACCACCCATCCGCCAACCGGGTCCCATGTACGCTTTCCCACCTGAGACACCCAGCTTCGCCGCCAGAGTCGGCCATGTCCACCCTTCTCCTCCTTCTTACTCCTTCATATATGACTAGTCATTGCTGATAATACATCATCAGCCAGGCTGGGCCCTGTCTTCTACTTTTCTCTCATGCCATAGTCGCTCCTTTAGCTGGCCTCCACGCTCTCTAAGAACAACCTCACGCTCCCTACCAACTCACGTCCTTTGCCAGCTGGTCTCTAAGACATCTTCCGCTCATTCCGAATCTCACAGCACCCTTATACACGCTGATTATTACGCAACCCTCTTATTTCTACCGTCACGACAGCAGACGTCATGGCTCAGCAGAGCCTAGCCGCCACTCCCTCTTCTCGTCAGGACATTGTCAGCGCACTCCTCAGTGACTACTATGGCAACTCCTTTGGAGACGAAAAATCCCCTTCAGTGTACTCTCCCGAACCGCCGACAAGCCAGCTTCCTCCGCTTCCGCCACGAAAAGACAGTCTTGTCGCGCGTAAACCTGTGCCGGCTGCACAGCGGATGGACGCAAAGTTCCAGCTGCGAGGTAAGCAATCTCATCTTTTCTTTCTTGTCTTTGGTACGATGGGATCAAACCTCGCTGTGGATCTGGAGTCCGTGTGATGTCTGGTTTGAACCGTGGTTTGGGTCCACATTTGATCGCGCCCTGGTTTCACGTCACTCCAAGCCTCGTCGTGTCTTTGCTACTTTCTTTGCAACGCATCAACCACCGCAACCTAACCACCTATTATTTCTTGTCTGGGCCAATGTACTGACCATCTCCAGACGACCAAGACGCACCCGTGTCGCCGTCCAGCTCGGGCGAAGACTCACCATCACGACCAAGGAAGCGCATTGTGTCACGTAGCCTGTCGCGTGGCTCCAAACCAGCTTCTCTGAAGCTGACCATCAGCAACGGATCAACGGCGACATTTCCCTCTGCACCAGAGCCCCAGGAGCAATCTCAATCTGTTCCTTCACCTGACTTTGCAGCGGGAAATCACCCTCCGCCACCTCCTCCAAAGGCGGAAGAAAGGAACGCCAACAAAGAGGAGATGGGTAGCAAATTGTCAAAGCAGGCCAAAGAGCGTGCACGAAGCGACTCACTCTTATCTTCAGGCAAGTCGAGACAAGCATCACTTGTAAAGCGTAAGGAAGTCCCGCAAGCTAGCTCAAAGAGCTTCAAGAGCCTGGCTGAACTGGGAAATGGACCACGAGGAAGAAAAGGCGCGCCGGCAGCTCCTACGTCGGCACCCAGAAAACAAAGTGTCGGTACCCCAGAAAGCATGGCCAAGCCTAGCGAGGCTCAACGAGAAGAAGCTCCGCGCAATATGCAGGCCCAGTTCCCACCAACACCGGATGAAGAGAAGGACGATGCTGAAACTCTGGCACAACCAAAGAAGGCCTTTGGCTTGCCCACAAACCCTCGTGTCCACGCACTAGCATCGCCCGTGCACATGCACAGCGATAGCAGCTCAGGGCTAAGTTCATTGAAGGTATATATCTACCTCCCTTTTCCAGCACCCGTATTCGTTCGATAAGGGTTGCTTTTTTTTCTGCACCATGGCAGAAACTCTTTGAGGGTACTTCGGAGCCCTTTTCTGTAAAGACAAGTTTGACCAGTTGCTTAAACGATACAGGCAATGAGGCCAGCTCCTCCGGCTCCTACCGTCGTCAATGTCCACACCACGACACCGGAACCTACGCCCTCGCCCACGTTGAAGCCCGTCCTCGCGAAACGCGACGGTGAAATATCGCCCTTTTCGCCGCTGCCGCCGCCAAACAACCCAACGTCTTTGGTTGGTTACCACCACCAGCAGCAACGGGTGTCTGTGGAGCCTGAACCCCAGTCAAACCCGGTAGTAGTCCCGGTCGTAGCAGTAACCCAGCAAGAAGACTTGTCTTCATCGCCCTCACCATTGTCTGCGAACCCGGGTCTTCCGTATGCTCCCACGCCTCCAATCCATGCCAACACGCCTCTACGCATCACGTCGCTCGAGTTCCCTGCTTCCAAGGATACGCGTCCCATGAGCGCCCCGTCGCGTCCCGTATCCATGACTCTCAACGGCGCAAATCTGTCTTTTACCCCGGGCCCTTCTGTCCTAACGACTCCGATAGCAGAAGTAGAAGCCGTAGAAGCCGCAGCACCAGCACCAGTAGTGAACACCAACAATGACACCACCACCACCACTACTACCACTACCAAAGAAGCCTCCCCCGCAGCACCCCAGCCAGAACACCACCAACCCCCCACTTCAGACGAAGCCGAAGACCAATCCCCCTTCATCCCATTAACCCAACAAGCCATTCCCCTCCCTCTAACCCTCATCCCGCACATCACCACAAAACACACATCCTGCTACACCAACCACGCGCAAAACATCTGGTCCAACAACCTGTTCCAGCCCCTCGGCTGCATGGTATGCCACGAAAACACCAAAGAGCGAAAGTGGTCCTGCACCTGGTGCCAGCTGCGCATTTGCAGGCCGTGCAGCGACGAGTTGAGACGCGTGCCCGGGCGCGATGTCGCCGTTTTGGTGCAGGCCAGGAGGGCCCTGGAGGAGAAATTTGGGACTGGGATTGCGAACACGGGGGATGCGGGGAGAGGTGTGGCGGGGATGCTGCAGATGGATGCTGCTGCTGCTGCTGCTGCGGGAGTTGTGCGTGAGGAGATGAGATGAGATGAGATAGCTGTGCAGATGAGCAGTGAAGAGAGCTGTGATATGGTTTGTGTGTAGGAATGCTGGTTATTCTACATTTTTTTTTCATCATCTTCTTCTTCTTCGTTCCTTTCTTTCTTTCTTTCTTACACGGCGGGACGCACTAAGTAGGCAGGGCATAAATTGCCCCCCCCCTTTTTTTCAGAGTGAAAAACAGACTCGATACATAACACAGACTGAGCGAGAGCAACAAGATGAAAAGATGTAGAAAAAGAACTGGGAAGCAAGGAAATAATTTGCTGGGATACAAGTTATTATCCTTTTTTTTTAAACTTTCCAATTTCTTTATACGTTTTCTACGTATATTTCCTCCTCCTTCTCCTTCTCCTTCTCCTCTCTTTTTTCCCCTCTTTCTCCCTTCGAATTTATACATTCAAACATCCATTGTTTTTGCTCTTCTTCTTTCTCTTCTTCTTCTTCTTCTTCTTCTTCCTTCCCCAGCACAGCCAAGATCCGCGTTTTCGGGGTAGATACAATCCAGAGGCATTTCCTCTTCTCCTTCTCCTCCTCCTCTTCTTCTTCTTCTTCTCTATCTGTGTGTCTGGTTTACCGCGGAGCGGAGTGTGAGGCGCAGGAGAGCGCCAATGCAAACTGCAAACACATGCGGCCTCACCATCGTTTTGAGAACGTTGTTTCGTGTGTGTGTGTGGCTGGGGACCTTGAGAGAGAATGCGATAAGGAAAAATGACGGCAACAGGCCCCCTGCCTTACTACTTACAGTTGGGGGTTGGGGGTTGGGATATACCACAATACTGTTTTTTTTTCACACTCATCTTTGACTTTTGAACATACACTTAACTTTGTACTAGATTTTATTTTATTTTTTTAAAAAAAAAGAGGGATAAGTATAGCATTACATCTACGACCCCCCTCGCTGTTTATCCCGCAGAATACTCACAACCTGCGGCAGCAAGATTTCCGCATTATCGCTCAAGCGCAGGGCTTGGCCACCGGTATTCGTATCGCCGTGAACGTCACCGAAAAACGTGTCTTCGCCCCTGACGCCGCCAATGTTCAAGATGCCAATGGGCAAGTGCATTTCCTTTGCCTTTTTCACGAGGCGCCACGCCGAGTACGTGGCCAGACTGCTTCCGAGGACGAGGATCCTGCCGGCGGCATCGACGGCTTGCTCAGCGGCGGCTTTTGTAGCGGCGGGGATGGACTCGCCAAACATGATGACAGCGGGCTTTAGGACGCCGCCTTCGCTCTGGGGATCCCACGCCCCGTCCTTGTCGACTTGCACGCGGACGGTGGCTCCATCGGCGCGCTTCGGCGGCTTCTCGAGACACACGGGGCATGCGGGGTATCTGAATGTAGTGTAGGGCGCATCGGGGATGTCGACATCACCATCCGGATTCGTCTTGAGCCCCTTCTTGCGGCGCTCCGCGGGGTTCTCCGTGTCAAGTGCACCCGTTTCCAGCATTTCGGCGAGGAAAGCGGCCCACGAGGGATTCAGGACTGACAGCTGCTCCTGAAACGCGCGGCGCGAGTATTCGTTTCGGCACGTCAGACAGACCAGGCTGCGCAGGTAGCCGTGGAGCTCTGTCGTCGGCAGATGGGGATGTGCGGTGGGATGAAAGGAATCGACGTCTGGTTTGTATTAACATGATTTGCTTTGCAGAAGATAGCGATTGACATACTCTGCGTAATCACCCTCTCCACGACGCCCAAGCGACCCAAGTCGGCACAAGCCTCATGCGTGCGATTCGGTCTTGCCCTCTCCAGATTTGTCCAGCCGATAAAACTGCGCGCCCAGTATCTCTTGCGCGTCTCGTGACTGGCGCAGAACTCGCTGAAGTAAATGGGGCGGTACGTCTTGTTGAGCGTATACGTGCCGTTTGTGCCACGGTAATCCGCCAGCCCAGATGCTACCGAGATGCCCGCGCCGGTAAGCAGCAGCGTGCTGCCCGCACGGGTCCTCGCATCGTGATTGAGCTTGCTGGATGGCGTTGACGCGGGCGTATGCCGTGGCAGAGAAGGCGACAGGAAATCTACCAGGGCGGCAATGGCACCGCTTGTAGTCGCTGCGCTCGCGGGAAGGATCCTAGGTGCGGGGAGGGGATCCGTGTAAGGGAGGCGGAGGAGAGGCGCGCGCGGCATCGCTCAATTGAAAAGACGGGGAAACGGGCTTTTGCTTTCGCTCAATCATTGTTGTTGTTTTTGGCGAAGAAGCTGGGGGCGTGCAGTCGCACATATGTGGTTATGTCATGATGCTCCTTTAGCGCCAGGCCGGCTCGCGTGCCATGATCCTGGTTGACATGTTGTGCATGGGCGACGGGTATCTATCAGATCGTGCACGGGAGGGGTATTTTTGGGAGCCCTGACTAAGTGTACAGCAGAGGTGGTGCATGAAGTCATTAGGCGTCGTTTATGTGCGTATGTTTAGAGGGCTGTGGGGTTGGGGCTGTGTCTGCGCGGGGCTGTGCTTGTGCAACGACACTGACTGACTAGAGTGAGAACATGTCACTCTGTGTGATGGTAAGTGATGTCATTGGTAAAAAGCGCTTTACACAGACGAGCATGGCTTGGGTAGAAGAGTTGCATTCCTAGTGCACATGCTGGTAATGTCCCATTCGAACTTCAAGTAAAGGAGACAAATAACATTAACATGAAGTATAAGGATATGAAAATATACAAGAGCCCATCTCCTACTACGCAAGAGAACGTGCAGCCAAATGTCCGCAAACACCAAAATAAGTTCAGAAAAAAAAAGAAAGGAAAAGAGACGATGGAGAAACTCCGCGGCGCTGTTCAAAATCTCAATGCAAGAGAATGTCCGGTTATATTCCCAAGCCCGATTACAGTCCTCCGCTGTTTTTTTATTCTGTTTTCTCCAACAGTTCAAGTGTATAGAAAAAAGACTCGCGTAAATTGCAAAAAGTGCGATTCCACCTTGTAGGTGTGTATGTCTTGAAGAGAGAACTACCGTGTGGCAGTCATGGGTATCGGGTCGTTTCCGAGGAGGGGTATTGATACAGAAAAGAAATGGCGTGCGGTGGAGAAGCAAGCCAAGAGAGTCGTAGCGATCGTAAGAAGCAGAAACTAGAAAAAAATAAGAAGGTACAAAATAGTGAAAAAAGAGGCCGAAGCCAGATCGCAACAACATCACGTGTCTATTGCGGATGCGATAGCTGATGCGACGAGTATGCCATGGATTGTTGGTGCATCTGCTGTGGCATTGATTGCTGCATTGGCTGCTGCATTGGCTGTTGCAGTGGTTGTTGCAGCGGCTGTTGAATCGACTGCTGCATGGGCTGGTGCATCGGTTGGTGCATGGTTTGCTGCACAGATTGTTGCATGTGGTGCGGGTGCTGCTGCATCGGATGCAGCATCGACTGGATGCTCGGAACCCGTTGCTGCTGTTGTTGTTGTTGTGGGTAGCTTGGGTACGCAGAGTAGTGAGATTCGGGGAGTGAGGACATGTGCGACATGTCGACGTGATGATCCTCTTGTTCTTCTTCGAGGTCAGAAATGCCTATGCCACTGTCTTCATGGTCGTGGTAGGTACCATTCTCGAGCTTCTTTTGGGCCGATCGGCAGGCCTGCGTAAGGTTCTTGAGGCCTTTCTCCATGCACTGGTGCCGGGTCAGTATCGTGTATGCGACGACTTTGACTTGGCAAAGGAACCCACCTTTGTCTCCACCAACTGCCACTTCTCTCCCACACGGGCAGCGAGTAAGCTCCACATTTCGCGCCGCACCTCCATGTAGGCCTGTGCCAGTACTTCGAGCTTGACGCCGTCCCACTGCTCCGCATTCTGCCTCTCCATCAGCCGCTCGTGGCGCTTGCGACAGGCATTTGGCGTCTTGGAAGGAAAGTGCTTAGGCCCAATCTGGTTCCAGTTGAGGCCCTGGGCTCTAGCCTGAATCAGTGTTTCGTCATCCTTGGTGGACCACGAGGAGCTCCGAGTTCCGCCTGCGGCCGATGCAGTCGACACCGAGTGGCGATGTGACGGACCCTTTTCAATCTTAGGCATGTCGACCAATGGAATGAAAAGAGAAGGAAGAGAGGGGAGACAGATGAAAGTAACGGAGATATGAGAAGACGTGATGAAGGAGAATACGACGCGAGTAATGGAAGCGACCGGACAGTAGATTATGAATAGGCAAAGACCAGGCGTCGGACAAGGAGAGTGACAGCGCAACAACGAAAGGTTGGATATATCTCTGACAACTGAAAAGGAGAGAGAGAGACGGAGAGACGGAGAGAGCTGGTGTTTCGTACCTTTGGATATCTGTTGTTGTCTGAGGGGTCAATCAAGGGGCATGGCCAACATCTTTATACAGGACGCCGCATCCAGAGCCTCATGCACAACAAAGGCCAGCCGGCCGGTCGGAGAATTTGTTTTGAAACGAAGTCATGTTTCTGTAATCGCCGGATCGATCTGCCATGTACCGAGAATGGCATGCGCGACTAGGCAAAGAGGGAGGCTGTTCACTGGGCCCACGGCTCCAAGCGCCATCAACGAGGGCCGGGGGAGGGGGAAGGGCCAAAATTGGGGCCTGTGAGTGGGCGCGAGGCACACAACGTGAGCGGCTCGTCCCCCCTCGTCGAACAAGAGAGGGGCGTCTGCAACGGAAGCGCCTGTTTGAGAGTGTCTGCCTGTGTGCTGCCAGATGCGGCTGTGTCTAAGAATAATCCCACGACCGAATCGAGGGGCAGCGATTAAGTAGGGGCGGCTAATCTGGCGCTGATTCGACCAGGCTTTCACGGCCCAAATAAAGACCTTGGCAGGCGACGGGCGGCCAAGGGGTGCGTCGTGTCGTCGGCCGTGTGTAGGAGTGGGAGTAGGATGCTCAAGTCATCACTGCTGTGTAGGGCTGAACCCGGGAACCTGCAGAAGGGTGCATGCTGGAGGCACAACGTGAGGTTGAGGCCAGCATGGGTTCCAGAAGAGGGAGCGTGCGCAGAGCGGGATAGCCAGCGAGAGAGAAGGCGAGAGGGAGAGGCAAAGAGACGAAGAATAGACCAAGGCTGCGAGCACAGCAGCCGTCAAGGCGCGAGGCGCTCGCCATGATGATGCTTAGGCGCGGGCGGCCCACTGGGCGGGCAAGTGTTGGTGTTTCATCCACCCAAGATTGCAGCGGGAACAGCCGAGCCCTTCTCCTCCCGTGGGAAGCGCCCGCGAACTGCTGCCGGCCCGTTTCTGTGCGTGCCTCTTCTGCCCCATGGCCCAAGAGGCGGCTAAACCACTGCCGCGCTATTATAAGCATACAACAGACGCAGGCACTGTCGCTGTCACGCCAAACAAGAAATTCCCCATAGCTGCTGTGAAGGAAGAGGCGAACTGCCGGCCCTCGTGTGTCGTACGACAGGAACCGTTCCTGTCTCCCCTCCCCACACAGCCTCGTCCTCTCAGCCCCCCGCCTCGGCATCCGAACTCGCAGAATCCATCCACGGCATGCACCAAGCCACTTTCTCTCTGGCATCTTGCCGTCTTTCCAGCACTCCTTGACCGAGCCTGATGCGGTGCGGTGGCGATGCCATTGTGGCTTGTGGATGCCATTGTCAAGGTGGTTCCTCGGAAGGCCATGTCTCGGAATGCGCACCCACCCAGCAGCGGTATTGATAGACTCCAATAATCGGAGAATGTTGTGCGATAGATTCAAGCGACCTCTGAATATATCTTGTAATGATATTGCTCATCTCGTACGATATCCTAACCGTGGCGACATGTCCCCTCCTACTTCTCGTCCACTCTTGATTTCCTACGCGCGCGTTCGCCATGACTCGAATTTCTCTCTTGGGCGCATATCCGGCTTCCTTCACCCGTCCTGTGACTCGATGTGCTTGCTTGACCGCCATTCCCGCACGATATGGCGTTATCTTCAATCTTCTCTCGAGCACCACCTGGGCCGAGCCGTCGAAGCAACATCGCCATCATACACTAGCAAGCATTCCACAACTGCTCTCTGCCTCCTCTTCAACTGCCCTTCCAGTCACTACACCACATAAACGTCCCGCACCGCCACTGCGTCCCCACTTCCTTCTGCCCACTTGGTCCAATCGGCCTTGGGCAGATCCAGAATTGCCTTCCGCAGTTGACCCCCGCTTTCTTGGTGGTCAGGACTATGCAAGGTTCGCCGTGCTCACACCGCGGAACTGGCTTCTTAGAAAAGAGTTTCGTCCAGCCCTCTTTCGACGCGTCTTGGGAAGCGCGTGGATCAGAGTCAAAAGACTCGGTAGCTACGGGTGGTGAAGGCGGAGACGAATCAGTGGCAGTTTGACTGGGCGAATCAGTGGCCGGTGGTGCTTCGTCGCTGGGTGGGCTGGCCTCTGCAAGTTTGCTGTGCGCCTGGAAGAAGCACTTTAGCGATTGCTGCCCCTTGTTCGCTTTGGACGTGGCAGCTAGAGCGCCAGATTTACCACGCTTGGTTGGCTTTACAGGGGACCCAGAGGCCGAGGCGCGTCTCTTTTCAGCAGACTTGAGAGGGCTTTGAGAAGATGCAGGTTTGCCATTCGTGTACGAATACATGTCTGCTCTAGAGGCCTCAAGTGCCAACTGTAGATCTCTGTCCATGCTGTCTTCGACTGCGCTCGAGGTGTTTGGGGTCTCAGTCTTTGCTGAGACGCTTGGCTCAGTCACCGTAGGCATGGGTGCTGGAGTAGCCTTGAGCGGTGCGGGCTTCTTGCTGAACATGTCTCTAATACTCCTTCTCTTAGTAAATTCTGTGAGGAGTTTCCCACTCAGAGGCGGGACGTCCTTGACTGTATCATATTCGCGCTGCCGTACCCCGTCCTTGAACATACCCGTTGGATTCATCAGGTCCAGCACATGTACCTCCTCTTCGATGGTCTCTGTTCCGGACTTCCGCCGCACCGGTACTCTATCCTTTGTGACTGCATATACCGGGCAGTGATCTGAGCCCATCAGCCCCTCCTGGATGTTTGCGTCCTGGAACCAGTCCTTGATTGTGATGCTGCAGAGTATAAAGTCAATCCGGGAACCGAAGTTACCCGGCCTCGCATTGATCTTCTGCTCCCAGTGTGTGAACATGCCCTCGCGATCAGGGTGGAACTCGCGGCACAAATCATACAGCACCGGTTCTTCCCGCCCCTCATCCCGCTGACCCGGCACCTCCCCGTTCAGCAGGAGCTGGTTGAAAATGCGGCGATTCGGCGTGCTCAGATATTCCTCATGCGTCATGCCCTCCGCCCGCATGTGCTCCTCGGCCCTTGCGGTATCAATCAAATCCCTCGAGACATTCAAGTCTCCGGTGAGAATCACATTCTTCCCCATCTTCGCCAAATTCCGTATCCGTGTCTCGAGCGCAGTGAGGAAGCCGATCCGAAATCCGTCTCGTAAGCCATTGCTGTTTGCCGGGCTGTAGACGCCAAACAAGACAAACGCCGGGAACTCGAGGACCAGACAGCGCCCCTCTAGGTCCAGGCTTTCGGGGTCCAGCTCAGGCGGGAGGCCTGCAAGCTGCGTGGGAGTGGGGTAGCCGCCGATGCTGGCGGATTCGGGGAGCTCGCGGTAGGGCGTCGTGGAATTGGGCGGGCAGAGAGCGCCTAGAATGCCTTCTTCGGCGCGGATAGGGGCGCAGACAGATTGGCGCGTGTATATTCCCACGCCCGAGTATCCTGGAGTGCGTTAGCACTGCAAGATGGACGACAGCACATGCACGGCGCACCCTTTTTGTGCTTGGGCAGGCTGAAGTAGCAGTCCCAGCCCGGCACCAGCACCATGTCGTCCGTCAGGTCCTTGCGCTGGATCTTGAGCTCCTGCATAATCACAATGTCGGTCTCGAGGATGTCGAACATGGCATTGAAGGTGCGATTCGTGCTCCATGGCTTGTACCCGAACGGATTGCGGATGCCGTTGACATTCCACGTGGTGATGCGAACCATGGTGTGCTGAGCAATTACGGGGGCCGACGGGGGAGATGCGCAGGCTCGAAGACAGAATTCATCCTCTTGTATCCGCCGACTGCCTGGATGCTGTAGTGTAAACCGTCATTCGCAAAGGCACGACGCGCCGACGTGGACGCGCCCAGTGCACGACGTCACATTACCGGCGCGGCAATCTCCGGGGGGGCATCAGCCCATCCGAGTTGCTCGTGCCAAGCCCCGTTTCGTCAATTCCAAGCTGGGCCCTCAGTCACCACCTCACTGCCCACGCCCACACCAATTGCGACCACCCCCCATCTCCACTCCACCACCCGCCGCGAGAAAACAACCCGCCATGTTCGCCGCTCGCTCTGTCGCCCGCGCCGCCCCGCGCCAGGCCCTTGCCCGCGCCCCTGCCCGCGCCGGCCGCCGCAATTACAGCTCCGAGAGCCCCAAGCAGTTTGCCGGTGCCGAGGACAACGAGTTCAACCGCGAGCGTGCCCACATCCAGCAGCACGCCGGCGAGTCTGGCGAGTTCTGGCGCAAGCTTTCGCTCTAGTAAGTAGCCGAGTTACTTGTTGAGGAAGAGGACGAGGAAGAGAAAGAGAATGAGGACGAGGACGAGGGGGGAATCAGGAAAAGCAGGGACAACGAGGCTGTGTGGGCTTGCGAACAAGGAGACGGAATCGCAGCGAGGAATTGGAGCGGCAGCTTCAAAGAGCCGGAAACACTCAAAGGGTTCACTCTTGGCAACATGGCCACTAACCGCATGTACAGCGTTGCCGTCCCCTGCATCATCGTCGCCAGCGTCAACGCCAAGGTGAGGTGGGATGCCCACTGGGAGCACGTTGCCCACGAGGAGCACGAGCACCCCCGCTCTGAGAGGCCCGAGTACCCCTACCAGAACATCCGCACCAAGAACTTCTGGTTCGGAGACGGTGACAAGGTAAGTTTGTTTGCAGAACCCGGAAACCGGGCGTTCGAACCATCTGAACCTCGAGCTAACCAGATGGCCTCCCCCCCTCAACAGACGCTCTTCTGGAACGACAAGGTCAACTACCACAAGAAGGATGAGTAAGCGATTGCGCATCACGCCACCGAATATTGATATCAGACACCCATTCCCGAGCCCACACCTCCCATCTAGAGCTATTGCCAGGCCTGAATGTGTACATAGTACGACGAAGAGCACAAGCTGAGAGTAGACCAGCAAATGCACCTTTTTTCCTTTTGTGTCTGTAACCTAACCATGGAATGCTTTGATACAGTGTCTGCAATCTATCCATGAAATGCTTTGAGACATAGTAATTGCATGAAATCCTTGTTCCCTTCCCAATCCCCTAGCCCTCCTGCACCGCAAGACCCTCTTCCCAAACACGATTATGCCTCATTGCCCATTCCTCAGCCAGCTGCTCGTCTCCCCTCAACTTCGCAATGACCGCCTTCTTCATCAACTGCTCACACTCGCCATCCAAGTACCCCGCCTTCTTGAAACCGTCGCCTGCGCGCTCAATGTAGAGTTCTGCTTTGGCAATGTTTGCGGCACGCGAGCGGTGAGACGACGATGATGAAGTAGCAGTAGTGGTGGTAGTGGTGGTTTTAGGCGTCGACGTAATAACGGCTTGAGACTGGTCCAAGGCACCGGCAGCAAATGGAGCAGCGGGATCCGGGTTCACAAGGCCCATGTAGGAATCCGCGAGGTGTGAGTATAGAGTTGCAATGAGCATGTTGTCGCCGCCTTCTAGTGCCTGATGGTGTATCAGCATTCTACATAGGCTCTTTTTTCTTTTGTCGAGGAAAGAAAGAAAAGAATACATAGTGGATATACATACCTGAGGAAGCACACCCTCGACCAATCTCCTCGCCTCACGGTACTCAGCCAGTGAGTTCAAGATGGCGCCTAGACACGCTACAGCGTGCCAGAGGGCGAAGCCCAGGCGCGCTCTGAAGCTCACGCTCGCAGCGCGAAGCGCAACGCTGAAACCTCGCTCTGGTTTCCCTACTTTGAGCCACAACCCAGCTTGCATGAGTAGCACGGACACGCGCTGGTGCACATCGGCATTGTCTTCCTTGAGGGACTGGGCCAGCGCGGAAATGGCTTGGTGTGCCAGCGGGAACTGCGCGGTGGAGACGAGATATTCAATGTATGTGTCGTGCTGGATAAATGACATTTCGGCGTCGAGAGGCGGGGCCGAAGGCGAACTGCTGGGCTTGAGGGTTTCGAGGAGGTGTGTGGCTGTAGGCCAGTCGGATCTGGTGGTGATATATCTATCAGTATTGATGTTTGGGAAGAAAGAAAAACAAACAGGTGGCTTGAGTACCTTCGGATTGCGTTTCTCAGCTTGATGAGGCCGATACACAAGACGAGGAATTGGTTGAACTTGAGCGACTTGTGGACTGGTGGCTCGACGGCTTCGAGAATCGAAATGGCTTCGTCGTAGCGCCCGCTTTGGCTGACGACGAAGGCTCGGCGTCCGATGGCGCGGAGTCGCTCTTCAACGGGACACAGGTTCGAATAGCAGTCGAGTAGCAGTTCGCAGTGTACACTGCAGAGATGAGGTATGCCGAGTCGGTTGTAGAGAGTGGCTGTGAGAAGCATCTGGCTACCATAGCTATTGATACTCTCTTTGATGTTGAGATGTGAGGATTGATAGATATGTTCCAGTGCTCGCGAGATAGAGTCACCCTTACAACATGTCAGTACTGATATTTTACCAATCCTCCAGGTGAGTACGTACTGTTGCAAGAGAGAGCTTTGCCTCGTTGAGCAGACTGGCGCTGAGCAGATTGTACATCTTAGCCTCCTTTGCCTTTGCCTTGAGGAACGTCAACGCATCTCGTTCGCTTCCGAGCATGCTCATGTACCCTGCACCCCTCATCTGCTTCGGATACGCTTTTGCCATGTGGTTCAGCCAACTAAGACTAAAGCTCAAGCACGTCATGTCTTGGTTTTCCCGAGCTGTTGCAATCGTCTCGTTGATGGCAGCAATGGCCTCACCAAAGCAGCCAAAATCTGCCTGCAGAATAGCCATGTGGAGTAGGGCGTACTGGTAGTGTATCTTCTCGCGTGTCTGAATAGCATAGTCGTAGTAGCGATGCAGATTGTCAAAGGCAGACGTGTAGTCTCCGGCTTTCCAAGCATCGAAAAAGTGTACCAGGTGCGCTTGGCGATGTACCAGTCCGGATGGGCTGACCATGCGGCGTAGCTGACTCTTCATTTCGTCTGGCACGCGGTCTCCAAGCTTTTGCAGTCGATCAAGCTGGAAGTCGAGTATCCGGTCCAGGTCGTCTAGGCTTGTATCTGCACCCTGCTCTTCGTACTCTTCCAGGTGTCTGTATGCGATTTCATACACACCGTCCCCTGCGCTCAGGCCCATTTCGGCAACGACCATATCGATGCCGCTCGAAGCCAGGCCAGCGAGTCGCTTGGTCCATTGCGCTGTTGGAGCTCTGTACTTGATAAAGGATAACCAGAGCTTCATCGAGTCATCGAATTGCAGCCTCGTGAACTCCAAGTGTGCTCTGCGAACAAAGGCACCAAGAGGCGATGTTTTGGACAGATAGATGCGGTCTGGCGTATCTTCTTCCTGTGTTGCTGGTGACGGCGCAGTAACAATGTCCAGGATGTTGTCAAAAAGAGCATGTAGTGCATCGAAGGAATTTATCTCCCACATTTGTTTGAGGAATAGGTCGAGGAGAGTCCGGCCGGGCATGCTCGATGCATGTTCCTGGAGCACGCCCTCGAATGCATCGATGGAGAAGGATGCATCTTGCTGGTCAGAAGTGGTACACGGATGTGGCCGTGCGCTAGACGGTGTGGAGGGCAGACTGTCTGACAAGATGAAGGAGAGAATGGGGATTGTGGCGGAAGAAGGGAGAGGACAAGTGCAGTAGAGTCGAGTCAGAACAAGAAGACTGATCTTTTGCGCGGTGAGGTAGCGAGGTGTAGTCATCCTTGTCGCTTCTAGGCTTGCTGTAGCTACCTACAACAAAAAACGATGCTGCCGAGATGTCAGAATCGCCGTTGAAATCTCTGAGTTGCGGCAGCTGCATTGCTTGCAGGCGAAGTGGCTAGGGATTTAGTTGTCGCTTGTGCAGTTTTCGAGGCGAGATGGTTTGTTGCAGGTGGTGGTGTTGAGAGACGTGCAACCGAGGCGCGCAGCGCGTGTCTGTCGCGAAGTCATGGGTTCTGGTTGCCAGCACCACGCACCCTAAGCGGCACATCACTGGAAACCGTAGCGAATCTTGAGAGGCGAGGGACAGGCAAGTAGTTCATACAAAAAGACAGCTTTTGTTCATCAGGGCAAGGTGGCATTATACACATCTATTTGATCGTCCCACGCGAAGCTTAACCAAGCCCAGAATCCTTCCTGCTTGCACTCTTCAGATTGCTCTCGCGCGACTTCAAAATCGGGACTGGAGCGCTTTTCAGCAGCTCATCCTCACTTGTTGCATTTGTTGCCCAGATCTTGCTGATGCTGAGATCATACGGGCCCGGTATCCGATCTATCAGCGATATGCCCACTGTCCGCACCTTTTGCGTCAACATCTCGCGCTGGGGCTCGACGACCTGGCCGTGGTTTGTGCGCACAAACTCGCTCCACTTGATCAGGATGGTCTCCCACTCTCCAGGCGTCTTGGAATGCAGCAGGTGCTGGTGGATGTCGGTGGGCACAATCGACTCGGTCTGGATGTTGACAAAGTACTTGCGCCCGTCCGACTTGAAGTGGATGGCGAGGAAGCCATACATGCTCACGTCCCACAGCGACTTGCCGAAGATGGTCGAGCCGCGGTCCAGTGTCCGCCACCCAGCATAGCCGGTCCGTTGGATGTGCGGTTGGTTGTGTGGCAGCTGCGTGGATATGGCGCCGTGGAAGCGGACATGTGGGGGTTCGTCGTTAGTCGCGGGATGGAAGTCGAAGTCTGCGGTCGAGAAGCCGCCAATGTCCTTGTCGCTCATGCGCTTGCATCGCTCAATGTCTTCGGGCTGGTTGAAGAGAATCAGCGGGAAGGGCTTGCGGGGCGACTTGAGGCCCTCGAGCTTGAGCGCTGCAAAGGTCAGTGGCGGCGCATGCAAGCGGCGGGCGTCGCCTGCAACTCACCATAGTTGGAGAGGCGCTTGAACTCGTCCAGGCTGCGCTTGAAGAAGCCCGGTGCAAAGCAGGCGGGCGTCGGCCGCATGGTGGTGTGCAAGCAGGGCAATGTCTGGCTGGCAGGCAGTGGACGCGGCGGGCGCAATGGCAGCTCGCCGTGTCGATGGCGATGGCGACGCAATGCCATGCAACCATGACGCTGACGCCGCGGTAGTCTTCGCCGGACGCTAGCCGCATTCGCCCTGTCCACCAAAAATCTGGGGACCGATGTCTGTACAGCGCATCCGCCACTCTCCACGCCTGATTAAATACCCCAAGGCCAGCAGCATAGTCGAGATCCAGCCTGCCCATTAAGCCCCTCCCCGGCCCCCCGTGCGCCTCGCCCGATACAAGCCCCCGCGGCCCGCCACCAGTTTTTCGTCCCTCCATGTCACTGCAAGAAGCCTCTGGCCCTCGAAGTTTTCGAGACAAGGCCCCGCTGCCGCCTTCGTCGCGCGAATTGGGCGAAGCCACTCCTCCAAGACAGCCAGATGGCGCTTCGCTAGCAAAAGCAGACGCCAAGTCGGGCAAGTCATGGGCGCATTTCGTCGCCGGCGGGTACGAGGCAAAGTCTTTTTGCACCCGCACCAGCAGCTAACATGTGCAGTCTCGGCGGCATGGCCTCTGCGACCTTGACGGCTCCGCTTGACGTGCTCAAGACTCGTCTCCAATCCACCTTTTACCAGCAGCACCTCGCCGCCATGCGCGCGGTCAGAGGATTGCCGCCCATAGAAACCATGTCTTTCGCCCGAAGCTCGCTTCTACACGTCCGCGAAACAGGAGAGATATTGTGGCAAGTCCCCAAGGCAGAGGGATGGCGCGCGCTGTTCAAAGGCCTGGGGCCCAATCTTATCGGCGTGGTCCCCGCCCGCGCCATCAACTTTTTTGCCTATGGCAACGGCAAGCGATTGATCAGCACACACTTCAATAACGGACAGGAGGCGGCATGGGTGCATCTCTGTAGTGCCGCCGCCGCCGGTGTTATAACCGGGACTGCAACAAATCCCATCTGGCTGGTCAAGACGCGGTTGCAATTGGACAAGAACACACACGCCGACGGCCGGGGTCGGCAGTACAAGAATGCTTTTGACTGCACAATGCAAACCATACGAAAAGAAGGTGTTCGCGGGCTATACCGCGGACTGACGGCCAGCTATCTCGGAGTGACCGAGAGCACATTGCAGTGGATGCTGTATGAGCAGATGAAGTTGGCGTTGGCACGGCGAGAAGAGCGGGTTATTGCCAGTGGCAAACCACCGACAGTATGGGACCAGACTGTCGCATGGACGGGAAAACTGACTGCCGCTGGGTCGGCCAAGTTCGTGGCTGCACTCATCACATACCCTCACGAAGTCATTCGCACAAGGCTACGACAAGCACCCATGGCCGATGGCCGACAAAAGTATACTGGCCTCGTCCAATGCTTCCGACTGGTCTGGAAAGAAGAAGGCATGGCGGCACTCTATGGTGGTCTTGTTCCCCACATGTTCCGCGTGGTACCCAGTGCTGCCATCATGTTTGGCACATATGAAGGCGTGCTGAAGCTACTTGGGGAGAGCAGCAACATGTAAAGACGCAAATGTTTTTGATATATGCGGGGACGTGTACAAAATTCGATGCATGACACGGCGTTTTGAAAGCAGAGGGAAGGATATTTGGTTGGCATTTTCGGGCGTCCTCACATCACCACTCAGCTGCTGTTGAGCTTGTATTTGTATAATGTGGATTAGGACCAAGAAAAAATGAGGATATGACATGTGCAACGCAGGTTCTTGGGATAAGTTTTCGAGATGCCAGCTCCGCACTCTATTTAACGAATACAAGATACAAGCACATTACCGTAGCTTTTGTGAGTTAAAGGAAAATTACTTGCAAGTACCTAGTCTTTGCAGTTGATATCCGCTTGTCAAGACTGTGGTGATGATATGATGTCCTTGGAGGTTCTCGGAGGTCCGACACGCTTAGCGCGCCTTTGCCCGCCCCGAACATGGACTTTTGACATGGCCCTCACTGCGAAACAATCTCCCCCCACACCCAAGGCACACGCGGGGGGCCACACGCAGCACCGCCCAGCATGTCGACGACACAGATACCGCTTCGCACAGCTCGAGTACCAGCGCTGCAGCGCCAATGCCTCTTCTTCCGCCCCCAGTACCACCACCACCACGCAGCCAGAGCCCACAACCTGCGCCTCGGCCCACCACCCGCCGCCCTCATCATACCAGCGACCCGCGCCTTCTCAAGCACGCCGCCACGCCCCAAACGCACATCACTCGGCAATGATCCATCGCAGGCTCGGGCCGCAGCCGAAGGCCAGGTTGGGCCGTCGCCCAACGTCAACTTTGCAAAGGCGCAGGCCAGTTCGGACGCCATGATCGAGGATATCGGGCTGCTGCAAAACACCATTGTCCGCGCGCCAATTAGCAAGCTCAAGGGCCTGGGCATGGTGGATGGCTTAAGATATCATTGGGATCTGCTCAAGCATAAGGGAACGGGGCTTTATGGGTAAGTTATTATTATTTTTTCTTTGAATTTCGAATACGAGAAGGAAAGGTGAGGGTTTGGGGTGGGTGTATCTCGAGGTTCTCGGGCTGGGGATGTGAAAACAGAAAAAGAGAGGGCATGCTGGGAATCTGGTTCAGGAGTATGGGTGACTGTTTGAATGTCTCGGACAATGGAATACTGGCCTGGGATATATATATACAAAATGCTGACGCCAACTGCCCAAAAAAACACAGACGATACTACTACCGTGCATGCATCCAGAAAACCGGTTGGACGCGATTCTTGCCCGTGGACCTCTTCAACAACAGCGAATACACATCGCTGGCGAAAAAATATTACGAGCTGATCTTTTCAAACTTTGCAAAGTACGTTTCTTTCTTTCTTTCTTTCTGTCACACATACCCACCTATCTACCTACCTCCTCTCTACAAGCCCCACAAGGTCCTAACACGAATATAGAGGCAACATCGCCCCCATCAAGCAAATCTGCCTCCCACCTCTCGCCAAAAAACTCGAGTCCCGCATCGCTGCCCGCGGGCCCCTGCAACTCGACTGGCACCTGCACGGCGGCTTCAAATCCAGCCGCGTCGTCTCGCACCGCGCCGCGCCGCTGGGCGAAGACCAGCCCGACACCGCCTTCCGCCAAGTCGTCGTGCGGCTTGTATCCGAGCAGTCGCTACGTACAAGCCGGCTCCCAGCCAAGCACAAGCACCGCGCGCTCCGCCGCTTACCCTGGATCCCCGACGCCGCGCGCCACCACGCCGAGAAGCTGCGCTTGCGCCACGTCAAGCGAGAGGCGGAAGCCGGCGCTGCTGCTGCTGATGATGCTGCGGCCAAGCTCCACGCCGAGGACGAGAAACCCGTCTTGCACACCGTCGTCGATTACCTGGTGCTGCAGAAGAGAGTCGTGCGCGGCAAGGAGGAGGACTGGCGCGTTTGGGGCTTTACCGAGGAATCCACGCCTGATGTTAGAGAGAGGGACCAGGAGTATTGGCGTTTGATGCTGGATGCGCAGACGGGGCGTGCGTAGAGTTGGTTGCCGTGTAGTCAAGAGAGGGAGAGGGAGAGGGAGAGAGAGAGAGTGTGTGTGTGTGTGTGAGAGAGAGAGAGAGAGAGAGTGAGAGAAGAAATGGAAAATCCTACTTGTAACCATAGTTTGTATATATCATCGAGGCGCGAGAGCATACTATGTGTTTGACAATGGCTTCGGTTAGGCTAGTCATGCAAAGCGACAAAAGGTTTACGACAATGTTCCCACCAAAAAAAAGTATGTGTCGATCTTGCACTGTTGGAATTTCGTGTTCTAAGTAAGCTTTGTGGAGTGGAGAGAGAGAGAGAGAGTGTGTGTGTGGTTCAGCAAGCATTTCCATCACTTCACACACGAAAAAAAAATCTCCATTGAAAGCCAGACAAAAGTCATTTTCATTTGGTTTCTCATCGCCAGTAGCGATTCTAATAAGAGGAAGAAAAAAAACGGCCCATGTCGACGCAATCATTCAGCGCATAGCAATTCTCATTGCAGCGCGAAGACCCCCACTCCCCCCTCTCTCTCTCTCTCGGACGTCGTAACCCGCACTCCTCTCTTGTTGCTGATATGGAGACGTAGAACGAAAGCTTACAAAAAAAGCCGTGCCCGCTGTATCCGAGCCGCAGACGAAGTAAGGCCGCGATACCGAGGGCGGGCAAGGCGAGCAGTTCCCAGGGGAACTAGAAACCGTGGACCTGTGTTGCCATGTGAGTTTTGCATCCTTTGTTTGAACAAGACAAGAATCACGTCAAGCAGCATAAAACGCACCTTTATGGTTTTGGCGTCCAGGCCAAGGCCTTCCTTCTTGTCGGTCAAGAAGTCTTGGACATCCTTGCGCTGGTCGCCCTGGAGCTGGACGACCTCGCCCATCTCGGCGTCGGTCACAATGGTGCCATTGCAGGCAAACTTCTTCTTGATCACTTTGAGGATCTTCTTCTGGTCAAACTTCTTGGGGAGCCCCTGCACCGTCGTCAAGGTTTTGCGGCCATTGCGCTCTGCCGTGCGTCAGCGGGGGTTATCAGTGTGTGCCGTGAAAGGGCTTTTTGCAGCAGCGCTGTGCAAGAGAGGGGGGGAGGAGGGGGCGGTGAGGACACGCACGTTGGATACGAATATGAATGTAGTCCTGCTGAGTCTGCTTGACCTGGCCGGTATCTTCATCCGCTTCCGCGAACGGGTCTGCAAGCCGGGGGTTAGCGAGGGCATTGCGCATGCGCTGCGGGCAGGCTTACTTACCAAAGGTCTTGAGGTTCTCGATGGACATACGACTGTCGGTGGGCGCGCGCGTGTAGGTGGGGGTGTTTGTGTGTGTTGGGGGGGTACGAATGCCCTGGATAGCCTTGGGAGAAGCTGGGGGATGCGGTGAGAATAGAGCTCGAAGCGGGGTTTGTGTGGTGTTGCAGAGAAGTGGTTGCTGCGGCTGAGTGACGGAGGGTCGAGCGAGCGAGCAGGCTGGCACAGCGAGGTGGGGATGCGGGAAGGGAAGGCGAGCCCCGCTATGGCTGGCCTGTGCACCTGTGAAGGCTGACTGCGCGCCCCTTGCTATAGAGCATGCGAACGAATATATGCGTTATGCGAGAGAGCGAATCGGGGCGCGAGGGACATGGGGCATGGGGGGGTGCATGGCGAACTAGCCGGCATGGTCGTCGCTTGCTGGGTGCGGAAGATTGGATTGCTACTGCTACTACGACTACAAGTACACGGCACACAGCTGGCACTCTGGCCCCGACTGGCGACCAGGCTGTGCTCGTGCTGTGGGCTACGAGGGGGGCACGGCAGCAAAGGGCTCTGTGCCGGAGGCCTGGCCGGGACGAACAGGCGGCGGGGGCAAGAAGAAGGACGAGTACGTCTGTGGTACGGCATCAGCATCATGATCCACGGGCAAGTGGTGGAGCAGGGGTGGGGAGGGATGGTCTTACGACGACCAGGGACATGACTGCGCATCAGGCGTTAGCACGGGGGCATGATTGGCGGGCTGTGTATACATACTAGACATGCCGACCTGGAAGTAGGCGGGGGTGCTCGACGTCTTCTGCTGCTCGGGCGTCTCAGCGAGCCAGGCCTGGATGGCAAAGACGACCGACACCCTAGACGGCGGGTCAGCGATTGCAGCGCGCACAAGGCAAGACAGCAGACGACTCACCATCCGATGGTCCTGTGCAGCACGGGCCGAGTCAGTCACGGGCGATGGGGGCGTCTCAGACACAAACACATTGGGGTAGTGCGCACTTGTTTCGCGTGAAGATCTGGGGGGAACTATATCAGCCGTGTGCAACAGGCGCATCACCACGGCCACGACCGAGCCAACTTACCGCAGCCATGGGCAGCGTGCTGGAAAGGGTGCCTGTCGCGGGCGTCAGCAGGCAGGCAGGGCGGCGGGCGCGGCCTTCTCACTGCTCATGTCGCCCTCGTCTTTGCTCTTCTCAGGCTCGGCGTAGGGCACGACTGCACACGCGTGTTAGACACGTGACGGGCGGGCGCTGTTGAGCCCCCTAGGGCCACGGCGGCCGGGCACGTACTGAGGTCGGCGCGGCGCATGTCTTTTCTCGACGCCATGGCGGGCGGGCAGAGGGCGGCGGGCAGAGGGCGGCGGGCGGCGGTGGGCGGCGGCGTGCTGGATGCGCGCTCGAGGCCGATTTATCTACCGTGGTGGAGACTCGAGGGCGGCGGGTGGGCGTGTGACGGGCGTGTGCGTGTGCGTGTGTGTGTCGTGGGCTAAATGCGCCAGCCCGGCATGGATGCACAGATAGCCCACGCCTCTCGCTCTATCGTATTGCCGGCTGATCGTCTCCGCCGCCCGGCAACATAACCTCCACCACGCTCACACGCACTCACGTCAACCCTCTGCCTCGCCTCCATCTCCCCTCCCTCCACCGCGCCTGCGAGCCCGCCCGCCAGCTCGCCCATAACCCAGCCCAGCCCGCCAGCCCGCCCGCCGCCCGCCTGCGGCATCGTGTGCTGCCCGCACATGTCCTCGCCACCCTGCGGCCTCCGTTCCTGTCCGCTGCGTCCCCGGCTTGGCCCTCCCAGCCCCGGCACGCTCCCTCCCCCTATCTGCATGCGCCTGATCCAACAATGAAGTCGCCCTCTGTGCGATGACTTCTCGACCTGGCCCGGGGATTCACGAATCTCTTCAGACTCGTGGTAGCGGCCTGCCCCCTCGGTCCCAGGCGCCGCCGCGCCGCCCTGGCAAGCCCGTCCAGAGCCTCGTTCAGCCCGACTGCATCGATCCCGCCCTGGAAGACGACCGCCCATCAGCCCTCCAGCATGCCGCCAGCGAGCCTGCCCGTCCTGCGCCGCGAGGACGCCCGCCCATCTTCTACACGGCCATGGCCAACTACGCCTCGGACCTGGCCCTGCACGCCTTCCCCTACCAGCCCATCGCCAACCTGCCCCTGCCCCCCAGGCCCGGCTCCGTCCATCTAAGAGAGGCGTCTCAGCAACGTCGCATATGGCCCGGAGGCTCGGGCGTCAAGGACGCTCCAAAGCCCGGAGGACCTGACGTTGTCGCTCCACCCGTCCATTTTCCCGGTGGTAAGGCTGCCGATGTATTCCCGTGGACTGGCAGCAATGCCGAGGACAACCTGTCCGAGGCGCTTGTCAAGGCAGGCGTCAGCAATAAGCCGCAGATCATGAACGAATCCAACACCGCCCGGCCCTCGCTGATAAACAACCTCAAGAACAAGTCGGGCCTCAGCACCCTGTCGACCCTGTTCGTCGCCGTCCTGGAGAAGAGACAGCAGACGGGCCGCCTGCAGACGCCCAACACGTTCAAGCCGCCCCCGCGCCTGACGCTCAGAGACTCGACTCGCGAGCAGTGGCTGCATGATCTGGCAAACCCGGGCACAGGCCTCCGTCGCCTGAGCCGCACCATACCCCACGGCCTCACTGGCAAGGTACTGCTGGAACAGTGTCTCAACAAGAACATTCCGCTTCCGCGAGCGCTATGGCTGGCCAAGTGCGTGGGCATCAACGAGCTGCGCGCTCACAAGAGAAAGGGCCAGGCTGGTACTGTGACGTGGGGCAGAGGCTGGACCAGCTCGGTCGAGCAGTTTGTGGACGGCGTTATTGGCGGCATAGGGCAAGGCGACTGGAAACCCCGCATCACATATGCCCTTCAGCTGGCTACACATCTCTACAAAGAACACCTTTTGGACGACGACCACTTCCTCGACTGGATCGTCAATGGCTTGGATACATGCGCCTCGGAGCGCCTGTTCATCTGGCTATTGGTGGTTTCCATTTCCCATTACTGGATAGACGTCACCTGCTGCCGCCGCCGCGGCAAGCGTCTTGCCGAATCATTGCTTAACCAGCTTGATAGAATTTACCGACTAGAGGATGTGGGTCCTTATATGGCCGTCTTGCAGTACCTGGAAAACACCATTGTCAGGCTCCTCGCAGCACGGCCAGCCTGCCTACTACTCCCCACAGCCTGGCCACAGTACAGCCCTCTTCTGCACAAACTCGCAGAGAGGCGGAACCATATACACATCACCCAAGCCATTCGGAGGCTCGAGCAACGAAACTGCAGACTCCTCCAGTCCCCTCAGAAATCATCGTCTGCTGCTGCACAAACACCCGCCGGTCGAGTCTACCGGGTACTCGATTCTGTCGATTACACCAAGCCCGTCCGCATCGAAGACTTGTCGTTTGACTGCATGGAGATTATTGCTGACGCGCCCCGTTTGATTGCTGTCCTCCTCCGCTGGACCTGCACATACCACCGAGAAGGCGCGCATAGAGTATATCTGGCAACTCGACTACTCCGCAGATGGAATCATCTTGGCGCAGACGTGTACGACGGCATCGTCTCGTATCTTCGCGAAATGACCTGGGTTGCGACGGGCGAGCCAAGCATTCTCTTCAAGGTTGTCGCGGAATTAGTTCGGTCCAAAACGTTTGCAACCGGCCGCTACCTTCAATGGCTGATTGCTACTGGGTCTGTGGGGCAATGTGCAGACTTGTCTCTGGTAAGTCACCTTTTTCAACATGGCAAGTCTATGCTAACTCATCAACAGCCAACATCCTGGCCACTGCGTCTGGTCACCGAAATACCCTTGACTGGCCTACCCGATCAAATCTGTACTCTACGGAGCACCCTTCTCCGTGGGACAGTGCACTCTGCCGAGTCCGAGCAAAGAGCCCTTGCCTATGCCAAACACGTCATATCCCAAGCCCTGCCTGCCCTGTTTGGGCTCTACAGTTCCGCCACAAAACATGATGAGATGCAGCTAGACAAGCTTAGCCCAACCATCAAGTTTGAGCTGGGCATCTGGCTACGTCGACAAGTTGCCCAGTATGCAGAAGTTAACCAGCAGTAAGACCTTTTTATCATGCGCTCAATAGTTCGCTAACATCACATAGCGTGCCCACCAAAGACTCATCCATTGAAGAGACGGCTGCCGTGTCCTTGTTAACGCCATTGGATTTCCATGTTGTAAGATCATATATTGAGCGTTTTGGTGATCTTGCCATACTTGCGGACATTGTTGGCATAGCGACGTCGTCTCTCGACTCGAGCGTTCTCGCTTCCAGCGCGGACACGATTAACTATCACGCCAAAGCTTTCCGTGCAATAGGTGCCTTCGACCCTCTGTTTGCCCGAGTTGCCGCGAGACATGCCGCCTTGCGAACGATCCGATTTCCCGACCGCGAATTACTGCTCAGCCTCGCCAGTCTAGCCCGAACCGCGCACACTGACGGTCAGCTCACACAGCTTCTCAACTACGACTTGAGCCAACTGAGTCAGCGTAACTCCCTTGTTGCCTGTTCGCCCGCCTCTGATAATATGGGTGAAGTTATGCAGACGGGATCTTCTTCTGATGACGAGATCGAGCGTATCCTCTCGAGTGGTACCAGTATGGACCAGCAAATGATGGCCCGAGTCCTCCGAAAGATCGTAAGCAACTTAGAAGAGCACTCAGCCAAAGGTCCCGAGCAGCTGAACAACCATCGCGGTTGGTTCTATCGCCTTCGCTGTTTCGACGAGCCCACGTTTGACATGGTCGTGAATGAATGGGTGATTTCAAGCTTGATGGCCCAAAGGACCGATGTCTTGCGGGTAGCTCTGCCCACCCTTGCCGGCTCTGGCTGCCTTGCTCTGGCTTCGTTCTTGGAGACTCTGCGGATTTGCATTGCCAAGCTCAAGAGCAGCCCATCTGAAGGTGGCTTTCAGAGCACCTTGAAGGGCATGTATCTGGTCCTGCCGTCCGACGCGCTGGCTCAGTCGTGTTCGCCCCAAGATGCATATCGATATCGCCTTGAGCAGCGAAGGCTATGCCTAGAAACTGACGGGCGTTTCATGCAATGCATGGGTGAGCTGATTGGACTTGGTTCAATGATGTCCTCGCAGAAGATTCAAACGCAGCTTGCAAGCTTGCTGCGCAGTAGGCCAGTGCTGTCCATCCTGAATACTCACATCGCTACCGATCCAGGATGTTTGAGTAGGCTAAGCAAAGACGCGTCTAACGATTGCTTGAATGAGGCGTTAGGTACCCTTCTTGATCCGAACAACCATTTACGCTTATCAGAGAAAACCCCCGAGCAGCAGGTAGTCGCCATCTTTGCCATCGCGAGCGAGCTGTCGTTGCCCATCTGCCAAGCAGCCATTGAACGAATCTTCTCTTCTCGGGCAACCGCATCTGACGGCTCCAGTGAGTCCCTATCTGCTACGCTCCTGAGCGCTATCAGAACAGCAGTGGAGAAAGATCAGCCGTCTGGACTAGAGCTTCTGGCGAGCTTGGACGCTTCACTGACGGATCAAATACGGCACAATGCGGAACGCGAGATCATCAACGCCTCGGCCTTTCTGGCCACATCGTCGGCGGCCAAGACAGAAGAGTCGGAGATAGTTTCGCCCAGGACCGTCCAGAAGTTCCTCGCCGTCATCGACCTGACGTCCGGCAGCAGCACTGATACTACGGAGCAATCTACTATGCTGCAGGCTTTGATTGAGAGGCTCAAAGGCATGGCTCAGGCCCTCGATGAAAACAGGCTCTCGGTATTGGACATGTATGCCTGGCTGAATGCACTACTCCGCTTGGCCGTGTCTCACGCTTCCCCCATACTGAGCGATGCCACGCATCCCCACCAGGCAGCCATGATGAGTGCCATGGCCGCCTTGCTCACCCACCCATCCCTGGAACTGTACCCTACCATCACCGAACACGTATTCGACGTCACAGTGTTCCTTTCAGACTACATTTCCGACGATGTCCGATTCCATGTTATTCGCCTCGATGGCGCTCGGCTCGCAAACGATTCACGCTGCGTTTTCATTCTTGGGGTTACAGCGCCTGTCGACGGTTGGCTGGTGCTAGCCAGGCCAGTCAACACACCTCCAAATCAACCCTCGTCGCAGCCAGCGACACCCGCCCCACTGTCAGGACAACCGCCGTACCAGAGTTCACAAGCGTCGGCCACAGGTTCTGCAACACCTCAACAACGCTATGCCAGCCAACAACAACAACAGCAGCAGCAGCAGCAGAGACATCAGCAGATGCAGGCCGCTCAGCAAGCGCAACAAATGCGCAACATGCAGCAATACTCGCAACACCCTCAAAACAAGATGTTGCCTGCACAACTCCAGCGTACACCCTCGGGCCAGGCCACGCCTACTCCTCTTACGCCAATGCAGCAGATGCAACAGATGCAGCAGCGCGCTATGCAGCCATCGCCTGTCTACTCGCAACGCCCGGCCCCTGTAGCGGGTCAGGGCCAAGGTCAGGCGGGTGCGCAAGTGCCGGGTAAGTTGCACTTGAAGCAAGATAAGGAGATTCGGCACTATCCGTTTGTCCAACCCAGATGGGAAATTCTTGCGGAGAGTTCAGGGAACCCAACTGGCAATGAGACTGCAATCAACTTGAGTCTCTTCGGAGCCCGTAGAGTATAATTGCTAACTCTACCTTTAACCAACCTCATTTATCTCTTACAGAGCGGAGGTTGTGGGGGGGCCACCTTCGCTTCATGTATGTTCTTTTCTTACTCTCGTTTTCTGGTTTGTCACCAACAGAATCCTTTTTTTTCGGGGTTCTCTACTGAGCATGAAGCACGGCGTTATCCCGGTTTAACTGCTATGATCTGATTACGACATCGCATTACACCGGAGTTTGTTTTTTTGGTTGATGTTGTTGTTGTTGTTTCTTGACATGGCGGGAAAGAGTGGAAGGGGAGTCGGAGAGGGCAAGGTGAAATTAACGGAAAGGGTGTTATCCCAGTGTTGATTTTGGCATATAGCCTTTGTTTGTGTTTTGTTTTTTGTTTTGTTTTTGTTCAAACGGGGGGGGGAGAATATACTCGAAACTTTGAGGTGTTATATTAACGTATTTTTTATTTTTGTATTCTGAATTAGCTCGGTGTGGCGGGTATCTAAAGAGACAATAACAACAAGACGAAGAAGAGATGGAAGAGGAAGAAGAAGAAGAAGAAGAAGAAGAAGAAGAAGAAGAAGAAGATAATGCAGAGTGAATGGGGGGGGTATATATACTCTTTTTTTCATTTTCATTGCTCTCAATCTATAAACTACCAAATATCGCTTGCTGCACGCTACGCCTACCTAATCAAGACAAAAATACTTAAGAGAGAGACCAAAAAAAAAGAAAAATAATGTAAAAATAAAGCAATAAATAACTAAAGTAAGTAATAATGATAAACTAAGTTTGGCTTACCCTGGTAAAGTTTTTTTTAGCAAGCAGTAAGTAGAGACACGCCCTAATTTGCACGCAAAAAAGAAAAAAAAAACAAGCTCCTACTTAATCATCAACGCCGTCAAGCTCGTCGTGTGTACTTCTTCTTCTTCTTCTTCTTCTTCTTCTCTCTCTCTCTCTCTCTCTGTGTGTGTGTATGTGTATGTGTATCCGAGGACTTGGGGGGGGGAGAAAAAAAAATCTCAACTAAGCATCGTCATCGATTCTATGTACTCAGCATTCCTCGATTCCGCACCACGCGCTAAACAGGTGTCCCAGATGCAATTTGGCCTTGTACTTGGTCTCGCTCGTTCCGCGTCCCTCATCCTCCTGCTGCTGCTTCTCTCTCTCTCCAGCCTCCCTCTTCGTCTCAAGTACAGTCCACAAATCAAATACCACCTCTCTTTCCCCCTCTCCATCATCGTCGTCATCAGCGCCATCGTCACTACCACTCACACCCTCATATGCCGCCCACCCCCTACACATGGCCACGCTCTCATCCAGCATATTCCAATCGGGCTCCGCAGTCACCATATCGACGTCAGCGTACCCGGCGTGCCGCAGCACAGGCGGCGCGCCATTCGACAGCGCATACGAGAGCGTGCGCAGCGGCGCCATGGACGAGGTAGTCGTGCGTTTTGGTGCAGAGCGATCTGGAAAAGCAATGCTGTGGGTGTCGAAAGCCTGGAGTAAAGAGGGTGCGAGCGCTGCGTCGAGCGAGGAGTACAGTGTGGACGCGAGGGCGCGTGTGCGCTGCGTGTGCGTTTGCAGGAGCGCGATGCCGGCATGTGGAATGTAGCGCTTGATGGGCGGAGCAGTACCAATACCCGTATCCTTCACCACCACCACCACCACCGCCTTCTCTGCAAAAACAGGCTCCACAACCCCCGGCCCACCCACACCCAGAAACTGGCTCCACGGCTTCACCCCGCTGATCCACGGCCCGGTTTCGTAGTCCCCAACGGGACACCACGCTTCGCCCGACGGATCCACAAGCACATGTTCGCGTGTATCTCTCTGCTGGCTTGCGCTGGGTGCGCGGCCCCAAACCGCAATGTCGATGAGATGCAGGGTATCGCGAACGTGTTTTTCAAACGCGCGCGCTTTTTCCGCGCCCCAGACGAGCGTCGCGATGTCGACGACCTGCCGGCTGATACTTGCTGCGTCACTTGTGTTGGCTGCGGCGGCGACGTTGACCGCATCAGTCATGTTGTTGACGCGCTCGTCCACGTCGTCCAGGACGGCGGAGAACGGGAGCCACTGCGCCGACTCCTGCCATATGTCGAAGAGGTAGAACCACAGCGACTGCATGAGCGCCGTGTCTGCAGCGAAGAAATCAGAGAAATAGTCGAGCAGCCGAGCGGCGCAGTCCCAGTATTTGTGAGTGAAGCTGGTTTCGCAGCTGAGACATGGCCATGTGGTTGGGTCGTGCCGGTGCACGCAGGGCGGGTGCGTGAGAAGCGATTTTATGAGCTTGTAGGTCGCGCCGAAGTCGATTGTGTTGTCTTTGTCCGAGGTGTCGCTGGCGGAGTGGAGGTGGTAGGAGGTTGTTATGGGTGGGGTGAGGGTGTAGTCTGAGATGAGGATTGCTGGGAGAGGTGCCTGTGGAGCCATCTGTGGGAGTAGTTTGGAAGATGGAGAGATTCGTAGCTGGGTAGATGAGAAGAAAGGATTTTTGTAGTTTATGTCTGGGGATGAAGGAGTGTGGTGAGTTGATGCCAAGACTGTAGCCTTGCGGTTAACAGCAAGAGTGAACCTGACTGGAGCGAGATTACAAACAGTATTACGACTGAGACGACGCGACAATATTACTTTAAGCCAAACTAGACACTGACATCATGTTCAGAACTTTCAGTAGCCGGATACATTGCAGATTGCGTCGCTACCACTTCGACATACGACTCAGCGTGCTCATTCTTCCATGTTGCATGTTACTCAACAGCGCTTCCTCGAGAGCCGACTGACTAATACCAGCATCTATCCAATGTAAGCTTGCATCAGCCAACACAAACCAAGAACCTACCATCAATGTCGCTGAAACTGCTTCCCATGCTCGGAGTGCCTTCACTGCCTTCTTTCCTGGATCGCAGTCCAGCATGTCGCGGGCTACCAAGCCGACCTAATGCTGCGCGGTGGTCAGAAGTCGGGCTCAGAGGACTCTTGGCTGCTGGAGGACCGCCTGAGCTGGTCATGGACGATGCTGTCTCAGTGGTAACCGACTGTACGTCAATCGACTTCTGTCGCGTTGGCGTATCGGTTGTGGCTCGGTGAGGATGTAGACCCTTTTGGCCTGGTTTGTTGCCAGTGTGGATTTGTTCATCCTGCACATATTTGCTACTGCTTGGCTGTCTTCTCGCTGCAGATGCAAACGGAAGACTCGTTTCTTGCGAGCCTGATTCATCAAACTCTTGCGCGGCATCAGCTTCATCAAAAGTAGAGAGATCCCGAGGGCGCTTCTGCAGGAAACGAGGAGGTCTCTTGAATAGTTGACTTCGGTGTGCTGGGTGGTCAGTATCCGAGATGGAAGATGAGCTTGAGGATGACGAATCTAGAACATATGGCGAAGCATCTTCATCATTTCGGTAACTCGGCGGAGGTGCATTTGAAGCTTGACCTCGTTCCTCCGACTTGCGGCTGGTCAAGTTGGGGCGCTGAGTAGACCGAGTTGACAGTGTCCGAGCAGGCGCTGGAACATGTGCTCGAGACTGTGTGATTGTGGTTGTAGAGGGTGTTCGGGAGAGAGAAGGCGCTGTGTCATGTGAGAAGATGCATGTTCAAGACTACCTACAACCCGTGTTCTCAGCTTACCAGGAGTGATAACCTCTCCGCCACGTAAACTTGGGCTATCTTTTGGACGCCCAGATAGCGCAGTTGGTGTCCTTCCAGCTGTTCAAAGTTAGTGGAGAAAGCTTACATTGGCTCGATACTATACCTCCAGACCCAGAGCTGCCGCCCCTTCGCATGGCAATGCCCCCAACAGGAGCCATGGAGCTGCCACCTGTTGGAGATGGCGATGGATTTGCATTCGAGATGCTGACCTTCTTCATCTGATTCCGAACATGATCAAGATGCCGTTCGTACAGCCATGCTGCCTGCTGCAGGAGAAAGGTTGGCGGAACCTGAAACTTGTCCGCTCTAAGGCGGAGTAAGTAAGGCTGGCGTTCCAAGCAAAGATGCACGTGCTTACAACTCGACCCCTATGTGCTATCAGCGACTGATCCAGAAGGCACACGATGGCGATACTCACAGTTCAGGTCGCTAGTCTTTGACGACTTGGAAATCACTTTCCAGAGCTGGCGGTCTTTCTCCGCATCCCATTGTGCCTGCGCCTTGGGTCAGATGATGCCCCCCAGAAGCCGGATAGGAGCATGCTACCTGTGGCGGATCTCCAAAGTCACCGCGTATGAACGGGAGGCGTATGAGTGCTGTAAACTGGACCGAAGCCATTTGGAGATGATTGCTTGTACGCGTGAAGAAGTAGATGGATGGAGCAATGGTCGAGTGAGGCGCGCCGATGGGGCTAGGCTGTTTGTGCACGGGCCATGTTCAACAACGGCGAACTCGAGTGCACCCAGCAACCCGCGCACGGGCTGTTGTGCAAGCATGAGCAAGTAGAGAGCCTTTCCATCCAGTCTCGTGTATGTACTGGTTGTTTACCAATAAACTGCACAGTGCAGAGTTGCGCGCTGTCTCTGGCTGGGCTGTGTAGCTTTGCGTTGGACGCGAGGTTCAAGCAGCACCGGCTACATGTTAACATATACTAATCTACACATAATATCACTACGTCCAAACTGTTCTGCAAACTCCTATGTCTCTCCTATGGCAAGTCGTCATGAGCATCTCTCACAAGCGTGTCCATGGTCTGCGATGATTGGGTGCGCCACAGCCCACGCCACAAGCGCCCCGCCAAATGCTCATGCAGGGCAAGTAAAATACTCACCAAGGACTCATGCATAAATCTTGTTCTCAGTCGAACTCCCCTCCCCTCCGCAGCCCTACCCTCCGTATCCCACTCCAGCCCAAGAAAAAAATGTCTCCCAAGGCCATCACAAACATCGACATCAAGGGCAAGCTGCCCAAAGTAGCGTCGGGAAAAGTGCGCGATCTGTATGCCATTGACGATGAAACACTACTTTTCGTCGCCAGCGACCGCATCTCAGCCTACGACGTGATCATGGAGAACGTAAGTTTTTTTTTCTTGTTCAACCAGAAACTATTTTCACTATGACATTACAAACAAAAAATTCCCTCCAGTATTAAAAGAGGATGATTACAGGGCATCCCCGGCAAAGGCGCCCTGCTAACCGCAATGTCCATCTACTGGTTCGACTACCTGCCCACAAAGGTAGCAGGGCTGCAGACGCATTTTCTGAGCAGCGCCCTGCCGCCAGCGATTGCAGACCAGACCGAGCTGCAGGACCGCAGCATGCAGGTGCAGAAGCTGCGCATTCTGCCGATTGAATCGATTGTGCGTGGGTACATCACGGGATCGGGATGGGCCGAGTATACCAAGGCCGGGACGGTCAATGGTATCAAGATGCCCGAGGGTCTGGTTGAAGGGCAGAAGCTGCCGCAGCCGCTGTGGACGCCGAGCACCAAGGCGGAAGTCGGGGGCAAGGATGAGAATATCAGTCCTGAGAAGGCGAGGGCCTTGATTGGCGATGCGGGGATTGCAAGCAAAGTCGAGGAGCTCTCGCTGGCCATCTACACGGCGGCAGCGGCTCGCGCAGAGGAAGTGGGGATTATTCTTGCCGACACAAAGTTTGAGTTTGGCGTCGATGCAAAGGGCGACGTGGTGCTCGTGGATGAGGTCCTGACGCCTGATAGCTCGAGGTTCTGGCCAAAGGACACTTGGGAGCAGAATCTGGGAAAGGCGCAGCCGAGCTTCGACAAGCAGTTTCTGAGGGATTGGCTGACGAGCAGCGGACTCAAGGGCAAGGAGGGCGTCGAGGTGCCGGCTGATATAGTCGAGAGGACGGCGGCAAAGTATCGGGAAGCATGTGAGAAGCTTACGGGCAAGGCATAGACAAGCCGGGCACAAAAAAACTGAGTGACTAATGATACCTGATCACCGCGATACTCGATTCGCAAGATAGCAAACATTAGGCTATGTATGTACTTGTATTACGTTGTTACTCGCTACTAACTAGATGAATGTATCGTACACGTGAATCAAATCATGGATATCGTTAGGCAAAGGAAAGTCGTCTGGCAGAATGTCTCCTACATCTTCGGCGCTTCAATAATATCTTCCTCTAGACAGAAGTGGCTCTTCATCTAGACAGAGTAGTCGCTCTTGACCCGGCGCTGCGAGTCGGTGTCCAAAAAGCTTCCGCGGCTGCGGTTCGACTTTGTGGAGCGGTTTCGACGCATCTTGGAAGAGCTGTCGCTACCAAGACGGCCACCAAGGCAGAACATGACGGTGGCGAGGAAGAAGCAGGCTACGGCAGCCCATGTAAAGCCCATCAAGTAGCGGCCAATGCGGGCCTCGAAGCCGGCGGATCGGAATGCATCACGGCCCTTAACAACCCATGCCCTTATGCTTGTTAGCGGATACTAGAGGGCCAGCATTTCATGGCGCACTTACGTCATGAGCGAAGCAGCGAGAATCTGGAAGAAGAGAGCGACAGAGGTCATGAGAGATGAGAGGTACCCTCCCAGACGGCTGCAGACTGCCAAAAGACCCGAGGCGAGAGCAACAGCAGCGAAGAAGAGGGCAATGAGGTAAAAGGCGAACATGAAGCGAGACAGATAAAAGTACTTGTGGGTACCGAGGAACTGCTCGGGTACATTCTGCTCGGTGCCAAAGTTCCTGGGCGGGTCGAATGGAAGGGCCGGAACGGGGGCTCCGCAGTTAGAGTTGCGCCCGGTGCTCGGGTTCTCGCCGCAGATGGCGAAGAAGGTCCATCGCGAAGGATTGCGGGCGTTGGGGATGCCGCTTGTCGAGGCTTGCAGGAAGTAGAACTTGTCGAGGGGCGAGCTGTTGACGCCGCCAGTCAAGATGGTCAGGAACTGGAAAAGAATGCCGGCAGCCACGAGGATGAGCGAAGCGAGGGCGAGCAATGGTCCTGCACGGTGTGTTAGCAGCTGAGCGGCGCCAAACGAAGGAAGCGACGACATACTAGCGGGGCCTGCCATGGTGAGGGATGTCGTGCAGCCACAGTGTCAGCAGAGATGCAGTCGGTTAATATGTATTAGGAACACGAGCGTCGTCGTACGGTACCCGGGGTTTAAAAGGGCCCTGGCACGAGCTGAGCCTGGCAGGCTTGGTTATGAAGACGTGAGGCCAAGCCATGACGTATCTTCGGTCCCGTCGGTTTCTGCTGGCACTGGCGTCGCTGCTAGCTTCATGACCTCACTGGGTTACGACACCATGTCGGCGCTTTGCATCATCCCGAGGCGCTCGACATGGAGAAGGGTCGGCGGCCTGACCTGAAGCATGCTGGCGGCGGGCGCTGCGAGTGCTGCTGCGCGTCCACGTGTGTGTTTGGGGATGCTGCGGTGTGTGTGTGAGGGTGTGAGGTCGAGGGCCGTGGTGGTGCCATGGCATGGAGCGCAATGGAATGCAGGGATGCCCGCTGTTGCCCGGATAGAAGCGAGATCCGCTGCGTGGAGCCTTGCCTGCACCCATCCAGCGCCATCCAGCGCCATCGAGCATTATCAAGTGTTGTGGTCGGCAGGCAGATCTGGCCCAATACACCACCTCTTGAATTGCTGCTGCATTCGCTGTCCGTGTGCCTTGGAACCCCGCCGTCGCCACTGACCCCCCCTTCCCCCCGCCATGTCCACCGCCGTCTGGCCGCCCATTGACGATGGCCGCCTCGCCGACGAGCAGGAGGCGTCGCAGACGCGGGAGCTCGAGTGGCTGCTTGTACAGCTGCAAGAGACGCTGCAGTCGCTCAAGGCCGGCCTGGACGAGTGTGCTGCCCTGCTGGCGCCGTCGGAGAACGGCTCCACGCTGGTGTTGACGTCGGTGCGCTCCGAGAGCTTGAAGGGCCTCATCACGCGCATCGGGACGCGCATCACCAAAGGCGTATGTGTCACCGCCTTCACCCCGTCTCGTCTACTGACCTCTGCAGAACATCAAGCTCCGCCTCGCCAGCCTTCCCCCGCCAAGAGGCTCCCTGACCTGCGACCTCGCCATCTCGTCTGCGCCGCATGCCCCCACGCTCGTCGTCCCCCAGCTTACCTCTGTACGCACCTCCATCAACAGCTGCTTGGACGCCATTGACGTCGCCACCTGGGGCGGGGATGCCACCAACGCCCACTTCGTCTCCGGCCAGCTGAAGCTGCTGCACGACCATATACTCGAGGCGCAGGCGGCACTCAAAGGCTATTCCCATGTACAGCCCGCGTGGTGGGAGAACCCCGTCGACGACAATGTAGGTTGCGCATAGGCACACAGCAAGAGCTGCGCTGACAGCGACAGACGTTTGACCCCCCGCTGCCCTCCAATGTATCCTTCCACCTGTTCGTCTTCGACGCTGCCCTCGTCCTCGAGATCCGCACACTGGAACCCCACCATGCTGGAGATACCGGGTCGCTCACGGGATTCAGCATCCGCAACACCTTTGCATCAGCCCTCGGCGCGGCACGAGCACCTGTGCATGACGAGGCCGACCGCGCCTTCACATACAAAAACAGCCAAGTTCGCGTCAAGGAGAAGATCCGCGTAGAGAGCCAAGACCCCGCCTTGATCTCCGCCTCGGCCAAGCTCAACGCCCTGGGACACACTGTCATGCTGAGCCGAAAGGCCCTCAGCATTGTCATGGGTCAAGAAGAGCAAAGTGACTAACTCCGCGCAAGTTTGACAGCACTCCATTGCGCCATCGCCTATTGGGTGGGCCTGCCATTCATAATCCTTCTTTTTCCGCGGGCATGCCACTAGTGTGATCGCGCCATATCGGCTCGTCGCTATCGGAGCACCTGATGGCGGCGCCCATTATCAAATGCCGCCGCCGAGGAGTAATCCAATTCAGAAATATTTCTACTAATACAGTATTACCCCTCCGTGCAGGAACTGGAAGCAATTTTATTTTGCACCGCTCCAGTCTTCATCATGGCACCTGCACTTCTTACGGCGCTTGATGCGACTTCGCATATTCACCTCATAGTTGGATCCAATCCACTCGCCGGCGCGCGCTGCACTCGCTCGATAGAAGTCGGCGCAAAACCCATATTACTCGCCCCGGAAGATGCCACCCTTCACTATGGTCTTGCCAAGCGCATCGAGACTGGTGAAGTGGAATGGCTGAAGCGAAGTTTCAGAGACGAGGACCTCACTGCACTTGGCCGCCCTGAAGTGGATGGTGTGGTGGACGCTGTATTTGTTACCGCGGGCGGAAAGCATGCATCAGGTACGTCGTCCAAGTCACTCCCTATGACTTTTCCTGACTCGCCACAGCGATCCATATCTCAAATCTTTGCCGAAGACTGCGCATACCAGTCAACGTCGCCGATGCACCGAACCTATGCTCCTTCACGCTCCTTTCCACACATACCGACGGTCCTCTTCAGATTGGTGTAACAACTTCTGGCAAGGGCTGCAAACTTTCTGCAAGAATTCGGAGAGAGATTGCAGCGTCGCTCCCCCCACGTCTGGGCGATGCAGTGGAGAAGTTGGGTACATTACGGAGACGCATATGGGAAGAAGACCACGCAGCCGAACTTTCGCAGGATCTAGAAGCAGAGGAGGAAGACAGTGGGCAGCCGGCCACGTTCAACAAGCTGATTCTGGAGGAGAGCAAGGAGGCAGCGCGGGGCCGTCGCATGCGTTGGCTAACGCAAATATGCGAGTATTGGCCCCTCCGCCGTCTGGCAAGCATCACCGACGCAGATGTGAATATGCTGTTCCGCGAATTCGCTAGCAGTAGCCCCTCCAAAGTCGGACCCACTGCTACTGCACCAGAACGGGTAGGCCGAATTATTCTCGCAGGCTCCGGTCCCGGCAACCCAGATCTCCTTACTCGCGCAACACACAAAGCCATCCTGTCTGCTGATCTCATCCTTGCTGACAAGCTTGTCCCCGCACCCATCCTCGACCTTGTGCCCCGCCGAGCAACCGTGCACATTGCGCGCAAGTTCCCAGGCAATGCAGACAAGGCACAGGAAGAACTTCTTGAAATGGGTCTGGAGGGATTGAAGGCCGGCAAAGTGGTAGTACGGATAAAGCAGGGCGACCCGTACATCTACGGTCGTGGCGGAGAAGAATACGACTTCTTCCGCGCACACGGCTTCACACCTAGCGTACTTCCCGGCATCACGAGCGCCCTCAGCGCACCACTTTTCGCCGCGATACCTGCCACACACCGCGGCATCGCAGACCAGGTGCTGATTTGCACGGGCACAGGCAGAAAGGGCGCTCCGCTCGATCCCCCGGAATTCGTCGCCTCCCGCACCCTTGTCCTGCTCATGTCGCTGCACCGCCTCTCTGCCCTGGTCGACAGCCTCGTCGCCAAAGCCTACCCTCCCGATCTTCCCGTCGCCGTGCTCGAACGCGCCTCGTGTCCCGACCAGCGCGTCATACGCACAACGCTCCAACACGTCTGTGCGGCCGTCGAGGAGGAAGGAAGCAGGCCGCCTGGTCTGCTCGTCGTCGGCAACGCATGCAAGGTCCTCATGAAGTACGAGCAGCGATGGATTGTCGAGGAAGGGTTCCACGGCCTGGATAATCTAGGTGGCGACGGCGAGCTGGATATTAGTAGACTTGCTACTGAAGCTGCTGCTGCTACTACTACTGGTCCCATCGCTGTGTCTTAGAATAGTCTTGATAGGAAAAAAAAACTACAGAACAGTAAATGAAATAATTAAATGAGAAATCATGGCTTGCTATTTATTGTGTTAATCGATGGGAAGGAGTATTTGATAATGTACTTGTCGAGAGCAATTCCAAGCATACACACACACACACACACACACACTTTTCATGCAATGAATGGAAAAATCATGCATAGACTAGCAGATGGATAGGTAGTGTGAAATCAACTTTGATAATACCCTCCTCCGTCTTTCGTCTGTCGTCTGTCGTCTATCATGCACAGTGTAGATACGTTGTTATTTGTGTGCTTCCAATTAAAACACATCTCTTTCCTTCTCCGCATTCTTCTCCTCATACTTCTTCTCATACTTCTCCTCATACTTCTTCTCATACTTCTCCTCATACTTCTTCTCATACTTCTCCTCATTCTCCTATGACACCATCTCATCTCATCTCATCTCATTTCCATTTCATTTCCATTCCATTCCATTTCCAGCTCATCTTCATCATCATCACCATCGTTAAAAATTCGTACAGTTAGACTAAACAACTAAAAACAAAAAACAAAAAGAGGACGAGACAATAACAATGAGAAGAAGAAAACATCTCTCTCTCTCTCTCTCTCTTTCTCTTCGTCTCTCATGCAAGAAACAAAAAAAGAATGGGAAAACGCCAGAAAAGAACACCACCCCACTTTGCTCCCGAGCGCCGCCATGAATGCCGTAAAAAAAAAAAACTCCCCCGTATATATCTCAAGGTGTGAATGTGTTTTTGCAAGATGAAAAAGGGAGTAAAGGGAAAAAGAGAAAAGAGAATCCGTAGCTGCTATAATGGTGCTAGAGGAAGGAAAAAAAACGCCGATGCTAAATCGAGAAAATGTTTTGCTGAAAGAAGAAGAAGAAGAAGAAAAACTGCATGTCGTTGTGAAGATAAAAGGACGCAAATATTCCTTCATCAACTCAAGTCGCGCGTGAAGAAAAAAAAACCCCCCATTCCCTCGCGGTAGGATTTTTTTTCTTCTTCACACCTGACTAGACCAACTCTTCCTCTTCGCATCGCCCTGCTGCTCTTCCCAGATGACGAGTTCGCGACCGCTTCGGTCACCGCCGCGGCGCACACGATCGATGCCGAGATGTTCGAGGCCGTCGCGGCCAACGTGGATACCAAATCCGTATCTGATTTTGGCGGGATCGCTGACCGAGTCGTTTCTGGAGTGCTTCTTCTTCTCTTTCAGCGCGGGGTCCGTGGGCGAGTCAGGTCGGAGGTTGCTGCGGGAAGGGCGGACGAGGGATGCGACGGAGCGGGCCCAGCTGCGCTCGGCGTACGTGTTGCCCATGAGGCGCGCGACAAGATCGGGCTTGGTTTGCGGATGGGCGAAGGCGCGGTCCGTCAGAATGGGAGACTGGTACACCCAGCTGATGATCTCGCTGAGCGAGTTGCTACGGTGGGGCAGCGCAGCGCGACGGCGACCGGGAAGGAGGGCGAATAGGCTGACGGTGTAGAGAGCAAGGAAGAAGCAGATTGCGTAGAAGCCTGACATGTCTGCAGCAACGCGAACCGTGTTGGCGCTGCCGTAGTACTGAGTCCAGAAGCAGCCACCTGCGAGGATGGGCAGACATGCCGATGTAAGCGAAACGAACGACAGGATTGCCGTTTCCAAGTGCCCGTTCTCGAATGCTGCCAATGTCGCCGAGAAGGGCATGCGGCAGACGTAATCAACCAGCAAGGAGGTTTCTGCAGTTGCTCCGCCCTTGGACGAAAGCGCCATGTAGGGCTGTAGTACGCGGATCGAGTAGTCGAGCGACAGGAGCGAGAGGAAGAGCAACAGGCCAATGACGGCTGGGACAAACGAGTACAGGAAATTCGAAGCAGAGAAGCCGTCTGCGCCTGTGCGAGCGGAGACGCGAGGGACGAACCCAAGGCGAACAGCGTCGTTCACAAAGCTAACGACCAGGAATGCAAGCAACAGGACCCAGGCGATGACGATCCATGCAACGACTGCAGTGTCCCTCAGATACCACGGCAAGAAACGCAACCGCACGCTGGGGTTGCGAATGTCCATGCGGATCGAAAAGTCGTTGGCTGAATGTGCGTCGGGCCTTGCCCGGTCTGCTCCCTGCTCTCGGATGCGTCCCTCCTCGACGGAGAGTTTTCGAATCTCTCCGCCTTCTTCGCCAATACCATAAAACACGTCGTTTGGTCGCCTTGTCGTGGTCCAGTAGCCGATGCGGTCAGCACGATTGCTAACCAGGTGCCAGTCACCCTTCTCAAACGTCTCCGAGTTGGCGTAGTCTGCTAGGTTGTTTGCACGCTCCAGCAGGGTGATTATATCCGCCAGTGATCGTGGGTCCCACTTCAGCCCGGTTGGCGTGCGCATGAGGAAGACCATCAGATAGGCCAGGGCAAGCACAAGAAGAATGTAGAGAGCAACAATAGTCCAAATGACACCCTGGACAGCGATCCATCGCCACATAGTGCGGCCCAAGTCGTATCGTACATTAAAAACAGAAGCAAGAAGTGGAACCGTCCACATGAAGAGCCATGAAATGGCATAAAAGACACCAATGCCGGGCTGTCCCGCGCGGAAATGCTGGAGATTTGGCCACAGGAATTGCGTAGGGTACAATCGAAGAAACACAGCTTCAGAGCGTTGGCGGAACGAGTCTGAGGACATGGAGATGAAGGGCACAAGGCGCTGGAGGGCCGTCTGGATCTGGATGAGCCATAGCAGCAAGAGCATGCCGAGCATCGTCGGGAGATACTGGAAAACAAAGTAGCGGCTGTCGCCAAAGGCACCATAGTCCCACAGTCCATAGCCTCCGTTGCGGTTGGAGTAGACGCCGGCGAAGATGAGCGCAGCTAGCATGGCCAAGCAGAGGAACAGGAAGATACCTAGCCATAGTGGGCGGAGAATGGCGGGCAGGAAGTGGAGCGGTGCGTGTGAGTGGTCGTGTGCCACAAAGACGTCCGTCTGTGTTTGGGATGCAGACGGTTGCTGGGATTGCGACTGGGGCCTGGATGGTTGTGTAGCCATGGGCGCTGGAGCAGCCGCTAGAGGTGTGCGTGACTGTCTCAAGTGCTTCCGTGGCATGTGCTGTGCCATCCTCTCCTGTGTCCTCTGCTCCTGTGCCATATACCCCAGCCCGTTGTCGGGGACGATTCTCTCGACGGGGTAGTCGTCATGGTCGCGGTACTGGGCGGCGGGCCGGACCTCGGGATATATTCTCGAGCCTCGGACGTCTTCGTCTCGCGTGAGCTGGTCGATGGCGAAGCGGATGTAGGGTGTGGTGTCTTGGCCGGGCGTGGTGGCGAGCGATTCGGAGTCCATGTCGGAGACGAGCTGAGAGTGTCTTGCGTTCTGCGTGTGCGGCCTCGACTCCTCGGTGATGGTGGATACTGCTGGCGACTGAGGGCGTCCGTGGACAAAAGAATGCTGCTGGGGCTGGAGCTGCTGGCGGGGGATGCCGACGCCGCGTAGCGATGTTGTGGGAGCGCTGTCAGGTTGTGCTATCAAGCGCTCATAACTCTGTGCCGGCGTGTGGCGGTGGGAAGGGGGAGTCTGGTAAACGGGCCTCCTCTCGTCGCTCGAGCTGGACGGGTGCTCCGAGGCGCTGTAGTAGCCTTCGGAGGCGGTCAGAGAAGCAGCAACGCTCTGCTGCGAGGCTTGGTGGGACAACTGAGGCTGGGAAACTGGCATTGGATTAGTACGGTGCGGGCGTACATGTACCGTGGCGGGCGATGGTGCAGCTGTGGCGGCGTACCGTTGGTCTGCTTGAGTTGAAATCCGGGCTCCCCATTCATATCTTCTTGGAAGCACTAAGCAAGTGGAGTCGCGCAGGAGGGGGCATGGTGAGCATGTGCTATCGCTGGGCGGACACAAGTTTTCTACTTGGGATGGCTGGGTGAAGCACCGCCGTCAGCGTGGGGGGGCTGGGGAGGTTGGGCAGGGGTTGTGCCATGAGCGCCATCATGGCATTGGTGCGACACATGTATAGAGTTGTCGGGTCCCGCCCGCAAGAAACAAGTCGCCGCCATGTCGACGCTGCCATTCGCGGGCCTCCAAGGTTGCGGTATGCCTGCTGTGTGTTGTCAATCGTGTTCCCCGCGCCCGTGGTCCGCTAGCCCGCGTCGAGAGGCGTCCGAGCTTCGTACCTACACGCGTGTGCGCTTCCCTCACCACCGCTTGCCCCCTCGACCTCTACCACCACCACTACCACCACTACCGCTGCCAGCCTGATCTCGGACCGCTCGCTCCCCTTTGCTTTTGGCCCCAGTTCGCGCACGCTGCACAACGACCCTTCCGCCAGGCACATGTCCATGCGCGCCCCCCCAAGCTTCTTTTGTTCTTGCCGGCGAGCGCTGGCACCCGTTCGTCGTCGTCGTCTGCCCGTGGATAGCCTCTGCAAAGAGAGTTCAGCGTCCCTCGGCCCTTCTGCTCGGCGGCAACTGCAAGAGTCTGGGAACGGCCATGTGCCTGGCGTATGCAAAAGGTAGTCTTCATTCACGCGGGTTCCTCCAGGCGAAGACAAGACTGCCGCCGCATAGCGACTTGGGTTTCGTCCTTCCGGCCAGGCGCGAGTACTAAGTATTATCGTTGAGGACGCAGGCTCTGTCCGCGTTGTCAAGTCGGCGGCTAGCGAGCAAAGTGGAGAGTTGCGGGCGGGCTGTGTTTTTGGGCGCCGCTCCGCCATGTTGGTGGTGAAATCTGCCAATGGCGCAGAGCACCGCCATCTTAGCACAAGTGGATTTAAGAAGAAAGTCCAGAAACCCGCTCGCGCTGTTGGCTGTCCAATCCAGTAAGTCTGAACCGATAAAAGCCCGATTCAATAGTCGCTGGGCCAACCCCAATGCGGCTTCTGGAAGAACAATGCCCCATCACCAACCCCCCTCATTCAGCCGTACCGTGCCCAAACCTTTTGGCTGCGCACAGCTACGCCGGTGTGCGCTGCCAAGTGCAAGTGCTGTTTGCGGCTGAGTCCCAGCCGCAGTTAGCGGCGACGTCGGCGAATGCACCACCGTGTTCCACCGCCTTCATGGCTGCGTGTCTTGGATTGACGATTCTTCTGAAGCCTCCAGCCTGGGACTCCAGCAATCCCCTCGGGGTAACATCGGGTCGCGCTGACAGACGGCAAGGCCGCCCATGGGGACGGTTATCGGGAAACGGCCCCTTGGTTGCAAGGCACATCTTCCTAGTCATTTCGATTAAGAGCGCCACTAAATGAGATGCGGTCTCGACTCGTTTTTCTCGGCCCCCACAGCCAAGGCTTTTCACGTGCCTTGGCCTAAGGCAGCTGCTGCTGTGCTGTCGAGACTGAGAACAACGGATCGCTGTCTTGTGGCTCGGTGTATCAGCTGGACACGATAGGGCGACGGTAGCGCCGCATACACTTGCCTTGTTCCTGTGGTCTCGTCCCTCCCATGTTGTACGGGAGAGCGGGCTGTGCTGAGGCTCAGAGGCTCTGATCGTCTCTTGTCTCGAGGTACGGGTCGGGTAGCAGGGGCATTCATCCTTCGCTTACTTGTTTTCAGCTTCACTGCGTAAAGCACACAATTAAGCTTCTGACAATACACCGAAATATCACACACTTCCACCAGCCACGGTAGGGCATAGAAGCGCCTAGTCTGCATCGGGCGGTACTCGGGTCTCGCTTGGTGCGTGGTGCAATCAATGGCGTCCTACAACGGTGCACATGAGGTAACGCCCCGTTCAGGCGTTCACTTTGCATACTTAGCCACTTGGGATGGAGGGGTCCACATCTGCCGTGTGCTGTTCACCTCTAAACTAGCCGCGCCGCCCTATCCTTTATCACGCTCGCAGCCTTCCTGTTTATACTTACCGTCGCTTTGGTTCCTAACTTCTTCCATTTGTTTCTGCTTAGTACACATCCATAAGCGCAATCACTACGCCCCTACGCTCCAGTCTGTATAGCATTGTGCGCGCCTGTCATGGCTAATGCCTCGTTCTACGATTTCCACTGCCCGACCGGGGGAAAATGGTAATAGTCAAACTCGTCCTCTGCACACACTTGCGTACTGACCAAGCCTAGGTATGCCTGTGCTAAAGGGAGCAACTTTGTAGGCTGCTGCACATCAAACCCGTGTACCAACGGTTGCGTGCAAGGAGATGTTCGAGCTGGAGGTTACAACATCACCCACCATGGAGAATGGCCCGACGCGTCGTGTGGTAGTGCGAGCGACTTTTACACATGCAACGCAGGCCCCAGTTTCTGGGGATGTTGTAAATCAAATCCCTGCGCCGCAACACCACCCTCAGTATGTCCTGATGGCGACTTGGTACCTGCCTTCATGGAGCGACCAGAGCAATTCAACGTCTACACATCATCAAAGGTTGAGAATCCAGAATCAACCTCAAGCGACAGCAAGACCAACACGGGTGCCATTGTTGGTGGCGTGGTCGGAGGAGTCGTCGTTCTACTCATTATCGCCGTCATCATCTTCGTCGTCCTCCGTCGTAGAAGACGGAACCGAAAGACGACGGACGGCAACATGGGCGCAGCAGCAATGATGCCCATGATGAACAACGAGAAGGATGACAACAACAACAACAACACAGCCCCAGCGCATTACGGAGGCCAATCACGTATGTCATTCCAACCACTGCTGGGCTTGCTGGACACGCTGACTCTGAGAACAGCGCCACCAACGTATTCGGCTCCCATCCAGAATTCTTACCAAGCAACTGCGCCGGGTAAAGGCCACGAGTCGTACCACCAGTATGCCAGCCACGCCAGTGAACCGCAAGAACTGCCCACGGATACTTCTTCATCCAACCCCAACCGATTCTCTGAGCTTCCGGCCGACGCTTCGACCAGTGGGGTCAACCGGCGATTCTCTGAACTTCCTGCTGAAGGCACCGCACGGGGAGGTCCATCCGAACTCGAGTCGCCACTCGCCAGTCCCTACGTTACTCCCGCGCTTTTGCAAGAGGAATTCACCAACGACATGGCCAAGCGCGCAAGTCATCACGGACTGGGTCTCTCGCCCGTCACTGGTCGCACAAAATGAGGGGGATAATTGTCACGGTGACGAAGTTTGGTTATAGTGGCTTAGCATTTGTTCGCCTTTTCATATCCCCGTTTGGGCGGTGTTTTTGTCATGCCCGCCGCGTATTTTTACCCGCATTTCCATTATTTATTGTATCGCTGTATATACCCGATTGAACAAGTATATAATCACAACCAAAATCAAAACCTGAAATGCCCACACACAGAGAGAGAGACACACACACACACACCGCTGCTACACAGCTCCAGACCACTTGGCAAGACAAGGCCCAGCCTCTTATCTAGAGACATATATGACGCAAGCTAGCACATGAATAGCTGCAGCAACAGCACTCCTCCCTCAGCTTTCCAATAACGTAACAAGGGCACCTGGGCAATGCGCCCGCCACACGGCTACGCTACCCCAAATGCAGCCTATCCTTTTTGTCCAACACATTCCCCGCCCGCCTGCCCGCTCGCCACCCTCACCACCACCATCAGCACCTTACACGTTGCGGCCCCCCCTCCCCTCCCTTCGGTCTTGCTGTCTCTCTCTCTCTCTCTATCTCACCTCCCACGTCCGTACCACCCACCATCCCAAGACCCGGCATACTTTCCCACGTAGCTAGATCCTACGGAACGCCACTTTGATCAGCCAGCCCCCCCGCTTGGCCCGCATCCATCACACAGCACATTCCTCCTCCCCCCCATCACACACGAATTAGGTGTGTAGCCGCGCGCGCGCGCACCCGCATGCCTTAGTGCTGAGGTTATCCTGCAAGCCGAGCATTTTCCCTTTTTTCCACTTTTTTTTTCTCCCTTTCTTTCTTGTTTTCTTCTTCTCTATCTTTGCCTCTTGCTGTTTCGGTTCTGGTGTGTTATGACGGTGGAGCTGTGAAGCTGTGAAGCTGTGGCTGTACACCTGATAGCGGTGGTGGTGGGGTGTATGTGTGTGTGTGGCATGTCTTGAGGCTGAGGGGGAGGAGGACAATAACAAAAAAAAAAGCCCCCAACACAGCGTTCTTCGGGTATTTTCCCTTCCCGTGCATTCGCGTTCGCGCTCTTTGTGTGTGGTTGCAGTGCAGGAGGGAAGGAGGGCGATGGCCGTGCGGGCTGTTTTTAATAGGCTCGCTACGAGGTTGGGGCTGGGAACGTGGGAGGGAGAGTGGGAGTAAGTATGTGAGAGAGGAGAGGCACGATACTTGTGTCGCAGTAATGTTGTTGTGTATGGCTTTGTTCCATGAGGGGGGCCAAGGGGAGGGGAGGGGGGCTCTCTCTCTCATCAGCTTGTTCGCCCGAGATGATGCTGTTGGCTTGTTCTTTGCCATCTAGATCTCGTTGCGGGCTGACTTTGTCTTTCTGATCTCTTTCTTGTTTCTCTTCCTCTATCTCTCGCCCTTCTGGCTTTCGTCCAGTGTCTTGCTGGTTTGCCACGAACTACGTCCTGTGGCCGAAGAGAAGTCGTACAACATGGCCGAGGCCAATCTTACTGCTCGCCAGGACTTTGCGCCTTCGTGTCCGGCGGGAGGCACCTGGTGGGCGTGTGGATATGGGACGTGAGTAGCTTGGTATTTTCCGCTGCGTCGTTCTCCTTCAGTGTCTGATGCCAAGGTAGATACTTTGTCGGTTGCTGTGCAAGAGACCCGTGTGAGATTACCTGTGCCCAGCGCAATCTCTACCCCGGCGCCTTTAAACCGAGTGCATACGGCACATTTCCCGATGCAACGTGTGGGACTGGAAGCAAGTTTTGGACTTGTACTGCTGGAGGTAGGTCACTGACCGACTATCAAAGCAGTCTTGATCTGTCTTCCCCAATATCACTGTGGATACTCAACCCCGGTAACAACAATGACTGATCATGCCCAGGAACCTTTTGGGGCTGCTGCAAAACAAACGCATGCGCCCAGTCTGGCTGTCCCGACGGTGACCTCGAACCCGCAATCCTAAATCGTGACGACCAACGCAGTGCATATCATGCCACCGGCGCCTCAACCAGCTCCTCGACTCCAACCAACTCCATCGCCCCCTCTCCAGCAACGCACTCAAAACATCCAGACAACGGAGTACCAGTAGCAGCCATAGCCGGTGGCGCAGCCGGCGGGGCCTTTGCTCTCGCATCCATCGTCGGCCTCATGATCTGGTGTCTTTGTATCCGGCGTAGAAACAAAGCTAAACGCGCCGATCATGACGAAACGAGTCAAGCTGGGTTTCCAGGCACCCATGTGCGCAACAAGAGTGCAGACGGTAAGTGTGGAAGTCGTCTTGATCTTTCATATGAAAGCGAGAGAAGAAAAAGAAAGAGAAATGTACTAACCACCCCCCCCCCCCCCCCCCCCCCCCCCCCCCCCCCCCC